AATAATTGTCATGAATGGACAGAAATACCCCCAATCTTAACACCCAGTTAACGTAAAACCTAACGGAGGACCAATTTAGGATAATTTTTAAAAGTCAAGGGACCACATTGGGTGCAATTGAAAGTCGAAATGCAAAATTGAGAATGAGACATAGTCAAGGGACCAAAATGGGTAAAAACTCTATAAGTGTTTGATTAATGAGTTTTTTGTAACAACTTATTGTTCCAAAATGTTTTTAAAAAAAAATGCTGAAAGTAACTTTTTTTCATTCAATTTTTTTTTAGAAAGTTGTGTTGCATGGAATCAACTATCAGCTAAAATCCAATTTACCAAACATCTTTTACCATAGATCTTGAGAGGTTATCAACGTCAATTTCAAGTAGCCAGATGCAATCCATGGACGAGAACATATATTCTCGAAAGGAAGCTGAAGTTCTTGGCATCCGGAGAGCTCTTAGTTGGCTAAAGATGATGGACTATGCTAGTGTTGAGTCTGATGCTATTGTTATTCAATGTCTTAGTATCCGTTTAGAAGACTCTTCATTTGATTTGATTTTGATAGATATAATTAGTGTTGTTTTTCAATGTTTATATATCTTTATTAAATCGAGTGACCAATGTCATATGAATAGTCATTTTATTGTTAATTTTCCAACATACAACTAATGTTTGTCGTGAAAAATCAATTTCAAACCACGAGAAGCAACTTTAATAGATTTCGCTGAAAATGAGAATTAAATCTCTTAGATTTCCACAAAGTTTAATGCTGTTTACATCTTTCCTTCAATGGACTTGCATGAGCTGCCCACTACAAAAAGGGCATGTAAAAGCTTTGCGAAGTGTTCAGTTCTTAACCATCAATGGAGAATCCGCCGGAAGGTTACCGGAAATGCGTCGGCATTTGCCTGATGAACCCTTCTGACAAGAAGGTGATACTAGATTATTCATATTCGATCAAACTAGTTTATTTGTACGCATTCTCGACTGTCTATGGAGTTAGTTCATTTACTGTGTATATATATGAATTCTGCAGATTTTTGTAGCTTCAAGGATTTACATCCCTGGTTCCTGGCAAATGCCGCAGGTAAATTCTGAGATGATCTTTTTCGATTTGGAATATTGTTTATCTCTCTGTAACAAAATCACGTTTGAAAACAGGGAGGCATTAATGACGGTGAAGATCCAAAACATGCAGCAATTCGAGAATTGAGAGAAGAAACTGGAATAACTTCAGCTGAAATTGTTGCGGAGGCATACACGCAGCAGATTCTATTACAAATTTACAATTTACAATTTGTTAGATCTAATGAAGGAAGAGCAGATTTGTTGTTGAGCAGATCAATGAAGATTTGATTGCTCTTATTTATCCAACCAAAATGCTCATTTTAACCGAGTCCTCTTGTTTCGCTTCAGTGAGATATTTCATCGAACAGATTGTATGCACATACCTTCCTTGCAGGTGCCGTTCTGGTTAACATATGCAGATACCCACCAGATGTCAGGGAAAAACTTAAGCGTAAATGGGGAACTGACTGGAAGGGTCAAACTCAGAAATGGTTAGTATATGCAATTTCCCTTCAAGTTGCTTAACTTTAAATCAGTTCCTTAATTCTTACCATTTGTTGTTGCATTTGAAAGATATGTTCTTGACAATTATTGCTACCTGGGATTTGAAACTCTTTTGGTTCCTCTTGAAGTTTACTGGAAAGTAGGAAGAAATCAACCTTCTTGCGTGATGGGATTGAGAAGCCTGAATTTGGAAAGTGGGCATGGATGTCAGCAAACCAAGTTGTTGCTCATGTTAGTGCCCCCTTTTATTCCGAGATTCTGTGACCCAAAAGATCACAAGGAGTAGGTTTCATATTTTTGCCTAATTTTTGTTGTACAATTAAGTTTCTAATTTCAATACTTTATTTTTTAAGTTTCTAATTTCAATACATTTTATTAACATTTAAAAATGATATATCTATAGAAGTATTTCGAGAAAGTGCATGTCATCGATACCATCAATTCATTAATGAGATTTATTTTACTAATCATGGAATGCATTAATTGAGTCTCAATCTCATAAAGCATATATCTATTGAAATTATAATTTTAAAAAAATATATGTATTGAAATTAGAAACTTAAAAAAATATGTATTGAGATTAGAAAATTAAAAAAATATGTTTTTCTAATTTCAATACATATTTTTTAAAATTTTTAATTTCAATACATATTTTTAAAAATTTTATAATTTCATTTCATATATGTTTTATGAGATTGAGACTCAACTAATGCGTTCCATGATTGGTAGAATAAATTTCATTTATGGTTTGATAGTATAGATAACATGCACTTTCTCAAAATACTTCTATAGACATGTCATCTACAAATATTTTTTTTAAAAAAATATTTATTGAAATTAGAAATTTAATTGTACAAAAAAAATTAGGCATCAAAACATTTATAACAAAAAAAAAAAAAAGACTCGCATTCTCCGGTGAGAAAGCAGCCCATTTAGTAGGTCGCCTTCTCATCGGAGAAGTTGAGTTTTTTTTTTTTTTTTTTTAATGTTTTTTTTTATTTTTTAATATTTTAATTAATTTAAAAATTATTTAAAATGAGATCTCATAAATCACATCTGACTAAGGTGGTGTAAATAACAAAATGAACACCTCCATTTACACCAACTTAGTCAAATGTGATTTATGATATCTCATTTTCAATAATTTTTAAATTAAAAAAAAATAAACATTAAAAAAAACTTCTCCGGTGAGAAGGCGACCCACTGGATGGGCTGCTTTTTTAACCGGAGAATGCGAGTTTTTTTTTTTTTTTGTTACAAATGTTTTGATGCTTAATTTTTTTGTATAATTAAGTTTCTAATTTCAAGACATATTTTTTAAAAAATATTTGTAGATGACATGTCTATAGAAGTATTTTGAGAGAGTGCATGTCACCTATACTATCAATCCATCAATGAGATTTATTTTACCAATCGTGGAACGCATTAGTTGAGTCTCAATCTCATAAAACATATATGAAATGAAATTATAAATTTTTAAAAAATATGTATTGAAATTAGAAACTTAAAAAAATATGTATTGAAATTAGAAAAACATATGTTTTTTAAGTTTCTAATTTCAATACATATATTTTTTAAGTTTCTAATTTCAATATATTTTTTAAAAAAATTATAATTTCAATACATATATGCTTTATAAGATTGAGAATCAACTAATGCGTTTCATGATTAGTAGAATAAATCTCATTAATGGTTTGATGGTATTGATGACATGCATTTTTCTCAAAATACTTCTATAGATAAGCCATCTACAAATATTAAAAAAAAATATATTGCAATTAGATACTTAAAAAAATATGTATTGAAATTAGAAACTTAAAAAATAAAGTATTGAATTAAAAAATAAAGTATTGAAATTAGAAACTTAATTGCACAAAAAAAATTAGGCAAAGCAATATAAATCTCCATTTGGTTGATTTAACCACCTATGTAATTATTGAAAGTTTTCAGCTTTTTATAATTTCAAAGTACTTTATGTCCACTTTTGACTAAATGGTGGTGTAAAGAGCAACACCGCTTTTCTTACCCCACTTGTAAAGCTATCACATCTATTAAATGGGTGGTGTAAATAGCAATTAGAGTGTTGCAAATAGAATTCTTCATTCCCATATGTGATTTTTCACAATTTTTTAGGAGAATATGATTTATGCGGAGGAGAAATAAGAGTTGGGTTCTTCTTGCAAGAAGAGTTGTTTGCATCCGCTCTGTTTGTTTGTTTGTTTGTTTTTTTTTTTTTTTTTTTTTTCGTTAGACATGCTTTTAATTTTTTTTTTCTTATTCTCTCTCCTAATTGACACCTCAAAAATCAAAGAAAAGTAAATAAAAAAAAATCAATACTATCGAGAATGCTCCGAGTATGATAACTCTTTTTTGGCTAGTGTGGCTCTTATTAAGAGATTCTTTTCATACTTTTGTTGGGTCTTATCAGTGTTGTATGTTGGAGAAAGTTACATTGATTTTTTTGGGCGTAACATAGTGTTTTCACCGATGACCACAATGGTTTATCATTTTGTTGAATTGTACACACCTTTCCGGGTGAGACAACTAAAATAGGGATTTAAGGTTGCTCTTTACCAAGATCAATGATTGATCCTTGACGCTTAGTTAATGATGGATATATCATTTTCACTCAACGACATCCCAAAAGTTTTGATATTGATACGACTGTACGAGTAGTATATGATACAATCAAGTATATATAATCCGAAGTGATATTTCAAGTGACAAATGAGCTCTTTTTATGAGGAAAGTTCTTATATTTTGTTAAAATTACATTTTTTTAAAGAGTGTATCATGTATTAACACAACAAATTAAAAGGTGTAGAAATCCTTCTTCTAACTGAAAACACTAAAAAAGTAATCAGTGACGAACTTCGCCGTCAACGTCACTGCTTAGGTCATCAGGTCTTTAGAAACAAATACTCCATTTTAAATTATTTGTGTTCATTGATTATTATTATTATTATTTTGAAATCAAATGAGTTTGAAATTTTATTAATGCAGGAGGGGCAATAGTAGGTTTGATTAATTAATATCACTGTTTTAGAATGATGTTTTATAAATTAATTGTTAACTGACAGTTGATTATATGTAAAATGATTTTTTTAAAAATTAATTTAAAAAGTTATTTTAAACTATTTTTTAAATTTTAACATTTTAGAGTGAATAAATGATTACAGAAATTTAATTAATTAAATATTTATATTAATTATTTAATCAAATCAAATAATTAATAACTATTTTCAAAAAAAAATAATTAATAACTGTTAAATAAATTAAAATTAATTGATAAGTTATTTATGTTCATTTTTTTTTTTAAGTCCTAGCAGTAGGGCCGGAGGGTGGCGAAACCAAATTGACGTTCGCCTTCGCCGTCGCAATAAACTAAAAAAGAAAATACTCCGTATCAGAACGTGAACACGAAACCTGTTAACCTGTGACCTGTCCACTATCCAAAATCCGCTAAAATTTGCTGGGTTTTCGTCTCTGTAGAGAAACAGCCAGGAAGTCTGCTTTTTCAATCCTTCTAGAATTCCCTTTTGCATTTCTTGTATTGTTTCCCAATCAAGAGCCCTGCTGTTGCGTGCGTATATAAACACCCGCGATTCCCGTTCAGAATTTCCCACAGAAATTAGAAATCAGCTTCCGTTCTTGCTTCGAATTGTACACTTTTTTTTTTTTTTTTTCCTGAATTTGCATTTGATTTTGGAGTGTGGGTATTGAGAGTTCAATGGAGGGGAAGAAAAGGGTAGTGGTTGTTGGCGGAGGAGTTGCCGGCTCTCTTCTCGCGTATACCCTTCAGAACTATTGCGACGTTGTCCTCATTGATTCGTGAGTTTTTATGTACTCCCTTTATTGATTCATGGGTTTTGTGTTCAGTTGTGAAGTTGACATTGATGTGGTTTATCTAGTTTATGTTAATTTTGAAGGGTTTTTGTTGATTTTAAAGTCACATTTCTGAAGCTAAGCTGATTGCTGTCAAATTTGAGTTAATCAAAGGTCCAATGCAGAGAGAGAGGGGAAAAAAAAAGCTCTTTAAATGTTATTAGGCATGAAAGTTATGCTAGCATATTGATGATCAAAGCATGTTTGACCTTTTCCTTTCTGTGAGATTCCAGGAAAAAGAAAAAAAAAAAACATTTTGGGGTGAAGGGTTATGCAAAATGCAAGTAAAGTAAAAAAAAAAAAAATGGAGCAATAGATAAGAATGAAACTTGCCTTCTATGGGTGTCAATGTGAACTTTGTGTAGGTTAAAATGTCGTTTTTGAACTTATTCGACTTTCTCCTTGGTGTCTGAAATTATGAACTATGCTGAATATTTTGAAATATATGTTCTGTATATCGTGTTGCACTTTGTTTTGTTTTTCTTTATTTCATGTGTTTGCTTGGTTAATCAAACTATAGAATACTGCAGGAAGGAGTATTTCGAGATTACCTGGGCGAGCTTAAGGTCGATGGTTGAACCATCATTTGCGAAAAGATCAGTGATTAACCACCACGAGTACCTTCATAATGCACGCATTGTTTCATCTCCCGCTGTTGACATCACAGACAGTGAAGTGTTGACAGCACAAGGCCGCTTAATTGCATATGATTATCTTGTTGTTGCGACAGGTCATATGGAAGATGGTCCTGTTACAACACAAGAGAGGCTCGATTTCTACCAAACAGGTGCGGACTTGGATAACATGTCATCTGTATTGACTAAATACCTTCATGCCCGGGCTTTCAAATCATCAAAGCATGATGTAGTTATAACCTGATTAATGTCTATACACTGATTGGAGAGATTGCTTAGCCAATTGATTTCACAATAATGGCCGTTAGCTGATTGGGTTAATTAGAGGGTATAACTAGTTGATAACATTAGCTGATTGTAAAAATAGTGTTTGGTAAATTAGCTGTTAGCTGATAGCTGTTTGGTATAATTTCTTTTCTCAAAAAGCTAATTGAAAAAGTTGCTTTGAGAGTTTGAGTAGCCTTTTGAATTTTAGCATTTTGGAGTTACAAAAAGCTGATTAACCGAACACTTATTGATTTTTTAACTAAGTCAAACAGTTAATAGTGGTCAAATAAGCCAAAATTGGCTAATAAGCTAACTCTTTTACCAATCAGGGTGTCTTTTCAATAGGTATGGGATTCAGTTGTTCATTGATGTATCGTTTTGTTGTTTACAGAGCATGAAAAGATCAAATCTGCTAATTCTGTCCTGATAGTTGGAGGAGGGCCAACAGGTGTAGAACTTGCTGGTGAAATAGCTGTGGACTTTCCCGATAAGAAGGTGATACTTGTGCATCGGGGATCAAGGTTACTTGATTTCCTCGGAGAAAAGGCTGGCAAAAAGGCACTTGATTGGTTAGTTTCAAAGAATGTTGAGGTCATCATGGGGCAGTCCGTTGAATTGAACTCTGCCTCTAATGGTGTGTATCGGTTATCTGGTGGAGAAACTGTTGTTGCCGATTGCCATTTTCTCTGCACTGGTAAGCCATTTGGTACATCGTGGCTAAACAATACCATTTTGAAAGATAGCTTTGACGTTCATGGAAAGCTAGTAGTCGATTCCAACTTGAGGGTCGAGGGTCACAACAATATCTTCGCCATTGGAGACATTGTTAATACCAAAGTAAGCAATCTCTTCTCTTTTGTCCCTTTTGTTTTTGTTTTCCTCTCCTTGAGCCAGATTCATATTCTACTTATAAGTTATAATTTTTCTCTGTTTGCTTCAAATCGAAGGATTTTCAATTCTAATACAAAGATCAGACTCTGGGGTGTGTAAAAGAAATCGATAATGATTTTGTGTATTATGTATGGTTGGGTTCCCCGCTCCCTATGCTTTCTTTCTTAACACGTTGTTACAAATTACTATATTTAGGAACTCAAACAAGGATTTCTAGCTCAAGCGCAGGCATCAGTGGCTGCCAAGAACTTGAAGTCGTTGATATTCGGAGCAAGGGAACAGAAACTGGCTAAATATAAGCCCATGGGCTCAGCCATGGCTATAGTTTCTCTAGGGAGACGAGAAGCCGTGATGCAGGTGAAGTGTGTGACATTGGCCGGACGTATTCCGGGAATGATAAAGTCGAGTGACTTGTTTGTTGGGAAGACGAGGAAACAACTTGGCCTAAAATCTAACTAAGCCTTCTTAGTCTTTGCACAGTTGTTACATTGTAGCTGCATTTAGGGGAGGATTGTGTTGTTGGGTGGTTTGTTTTGTTTCATTTTCTGTTAATGAAAGATTTCGACAATGGTAAATGGCATGAGAATATGTGTTTGGGAGAATTGGTTGGAGTTTGTAATAATGAAAGCTAAGGTGTATAATTATTTGTTGAACCATAATTTTGAAAGACTTCAATCACGATTGTGTTGTTGGCTGGTTTGTTTTCCGTTATTTTAGTTGGTGGCAAGTGTCACACCATAATTGATTATAGTTAATATCTTATCGGTTGAACCAATCATGTTTACCTCTTCTGTGTTAGTTGTGAGAATTGAAGCATGTGTTTCATCTCAATACGCTTCTTCACGTGTAAGGGCTAATTATTTTTTATGGACTCTAAGCAACACGTGGATCATAATCTCTTTACCAAATTGAAGCATGTGTTCCATCTTAACTAAAAGTCTAAGTTGATAGTTGATTTGCACATTTATGTTTATATATTATGTATATATATATATATATATATATATATATATATATATATATATATATATATATATGTTCAACACTGAGTTATTATACGAACTACACTCTTAGATAATTACTACAAATTTTTCTCATTATTAAAAAAAATATTGCTAAATAGTAATAGTAATTGGATAGATTTTTGAAGACAAATTTGATCATTTTTAAATTTGAATTAAAGATTAAAATTGTGAAAAAATTAATAAATAATTAAATATAACAATCACAATAAAATTATAAAAATAAAAATAATCAAATAAAAAGTTAACAACATACCTAATACGGAATTTTTATTTTTTTTTTCGAAAATAATTTGTGTGAGGCCGTTAAGGACTGAAGCGGGAATAAATTGAAACCGAAGGACGAGCGCACGTGCCGAACACGTGAGCGGATCTCGAAAGACAAAACTCTTGCTCCGAGCAGAGAGCTGAGCTCTGAGAGTCTGAGCTAAAAAAGGAAAATTGCGCAATTTCAATTTTCAAGTCCTCAAATCATCGCAAATTGAGGTTTGTCTCCCAAATCCGTATACATATACTCTCGAACTCGATTCTCCATTTTCTTTTTTCTTTTTTTTTTTTCTGACGAAATTCAAAACCCTAAATCTCACCGCAGAACAGGAACTGTCAGAGATGATGAGAGTTTTCGGCGTTAAAAAAGACAAACAAGCTTCAATTCAAGACACTTCCGATCGGGTACATTACATTTATGCAAACTTTTTAAGTTCTATTTTCTGTATATGTATACATTGCGAGCTTAGGTTAGAGGGGATTTTTATTATTTTTTTTTAATTTTTTAATTTTAGTGTGCGTGAGTGGAGGCATTTGGTTCAAAGCTATTGAGGATTATTAAGGCGATTGAGTTTGAGGCTAACATAATTAGTAGCATTAAGTAAAAGAAAAAATGGTTTGCCTTCAAAAGCTCTTCAAATGTAGGATTGTTATATTTTGTGTCCTTGGTACAGGCATCTCCAAGGAAGACACCAAAACACTAACTTTTTAAAACATGTTTGTCAATTGTTTCCTTTTAAAAATTTATATTATTAGAAATAAATTATAAAGATTTAAAGATGTCATTGAAACGTTTAAAATGAGATCAATATTAATTATAAATTAATTAAAATTAAAATACATAAAAACATAAATTTTATTTTAAAATGTTATTATTTATATTAAAATTATATTTTATATTAAAATTAGCATTTTGTACGTGCGATGCGCGAAAATTCATGCTCAATATTAAACATTTATAAATATAAATAATTAAAAATTATAGTTTAAGTTATTTATACGCAAATAATATATGTATTATATACACACACATATGATTTACCATTCATAGAAATTTAATTAAAATATAATCTAACAATTAAATTAATTATATAATGATTTTAATAAAATGATAATTAAATAATAGGAAAAAGATATGATAGATATAAGTGTATGGTAATAATGATGGAGTCATCAATGTAAGAATTAAATAGTAACGGAGTTATAAAGGTGTAAGGGTAGTTTTGACTAACAAGAATGTAGTAGGGACAATTTTGTTCAATAAATTTGAAGTGTACAACATTTAAAGTAAAATGTATAACTTTATTCACATACAAAAACCAGACATAAATCAAAGATATAACTTGGATTGAGACTTATTATGTTTTTAGATCAGAAGATAATTAAAGTAAAAAAAATAATGTATTAAATTATAAGAATACAAATTATTTCAGTGTATGAATAAGAATTTGGTGTAAATGGGTTGGTGATGAAAAATTTTTGGTGTAAGAATATCCAGATAATATTCTCTTTGGTGTAAAAGTTGGTGCAAAATTTAGTGTTTTGGGTTGGAGAATGTAAGTTGTTGGCATGAGGAGATTTGTAATTTTTCTTCATGTTTTCCAGATCAATAAAAGAGGTGAGACGGTGGATGAGAAAATAAAGAAGCTAGATACTGAACTTGCAAGGTGCAGAGAACAGATAAAGAAGACCCGTCCGGGTCCTGCACAAGAGGTTATCAAGGCTCGAGCGATGAGGATTCTCAAGCAAAAGAGGGTGTGAGTAATCTTATTCTCTGTGTTTGGAGTGTGAAGGGATACAAACTAAATCTTATGCACATTAATTTTGTTAGATGACTTTGTGTCATGTTTGAGCGAATCCCAACATTTAGTTTTCAAGATGATTGCACCCTTAATGAAGATGGGCTATCCGGGATGGTTATGAACTTGGACCTTTGGACTGTTAAGAATATTAGCTCATGATGGTATCAAAGTTAGCTTGTGCTGTAATTGAATCTCAATTTACAAAAATATTAGCATGTGCAAGGATCTTTTGGTGTAATAGCTTGTTGAAGATATTACGACATTTGTTGATCTTGACTTAAATGTGCAGTGCTTAAAAAAGAAAACAGGATTATCACTTCAGTTCAATTTTCAGTGAGTTCTGTAATTGAAATGAGAACTGGGATGTAGAAAAGTGTTTTGCAAATGCACAAAATTAGTCAAACAAGCTAATTTCTGCATGATTGTGCTGTTTCTGTGTGACATCCCCTACATCTCAGTACAATGTGCCAATGTGGGGCAATGATTATTATGAGCAGATTTGATTGTGTTTGTCATAGTTTTGCTTGCACATGAACAGTCCCTGAAATTTTGAACAGGTATGAAGGTCAACGTGATATGCTGTACAATCAGACATGCAACCTAGACCAAGTTGCATCTGCTTCCGAGGAGACCAAAGATGCTAAAAAAAATGTATGTTGAATTGAGCTTCTTCTTCATGCACTTATTTATGAATGTTGAGAAGTGCATGCCTGAATTCTGCAAAGTATTATTCTAATCATGTAAATATCACTGTGTGGTAGATTTCAACTTGTGAACTTAGATGTTAAAGCTTTCTGGTTTTCACTTAACATGCATTGTGTTAAATTCACTGCAAAGGCGTTTTTTTTTTAATAGCACTCCATGGGGCATAACTCACGGCTTGTCAGGCGAAGCTTGTTCTGTAACCTGATTGGAACCTGCTGCCTACCCTCATAGCGGTAGGAGACTAGGAGGACATCCTATTTGTTTCAGGTGAGGGATTTTGTATTTACTTGACCTGGAGTTTCATGTAGAGCCAAGAAGTCTCAATTTAGATTTGGAGGCTTCATTGGGCCATTAGTTTCATTCTATTATCAGAAGCAGACGTGTAGACCTTCAATCTCGCAAGCAACCTGATCTGGAATCTGAACTTAACTTGCCAGCCCAGCTGCACCTATGGTCATTGGTCAAGCACCCAGGTAAATTTTGATCCCATACAGTGTGATTAGCCGCTCTTTGGAATAGACCCGTAAATGTATTAGAATCTGTAAAGATACAGTGACAAATTCTTACTTGTGATTCTTAACAGGTTGAAGATGAACTAGGCTTGCCCACTGCCCCCTCAAGCATCAATCCATGGCTTCTAAGGAATCTTGTTTCTGGAAGTGCTGATGTAAAATGCTGTGCAGACAGTATAAATTTTGCTTGCTATCTTGTTCTTCCAGATATAGATGGTTGTCAATCTGTTGTAATAATGCACATTATTGACAGTGTAGATAATATTATAAAGACTTGCAAAGATCGTTAGAATTTATGAATTTATGATTCATAGAAACTCTTAAGATTGAGTGTTTTTCTGTTTTCATGCTACTTAGGCTAACATCAGTGCCCTCCATTCCATGTCGGATAAAATCGCGTTGTACCCTAAAAAAACCCAACAGATTGGATGTTAACATTGTTTTTGATATGAAATATAATGTCTGATTCCATCACAGCCATGACATTGATCCTAGTTAAAAGTGGAAAATGTGTCTCTCCACCTGGGATTATCCTAGTACTACACAAAATGGAGAGCATTTACATTTGACAGGATTCTGTCTGGAGTGATGGGAGCCTGGCATTCTAGTTCTAGTCGTCTTCTCCATTAGCTTCCTCCCTCGCATGGAAACTTCAGACGTTTCAGCCCCACGGCAACATCTAGTTGAGACCCAGTTTCCCAAAGTCCAGCATCTGCCATGAAGTCTCTGCACCTCTAGCTCTGAACTTGTCCTCAAGTTTGGGCGCTGTGACTTGCCTCTCCAGCTCTTTTCTCAGCGAACAATACTGGGCTGCAAAGTCACGTAAACGCATCATTTATAACAATTCATCACTGCTTATTTGTCTCTTTGTGCCGCTAAAGAAATGGCAACCTGAATAGACACAAAGTCAGTCCACGATACATTGTGTACTTACCATCGACAAGCAGCTTTTCTTGCTGAAACTGGATTAGCTTTTGCTTCAGCTCGCTATTTTCCAAGGACAAAGCAATGTGTTGCTGAAGTAGGGAAGCGACTTTGGCAGCTAAGTCTGACCTTAGGGTCTGCATAACGAATGTTTATCGCTTCATCATTGTAATAAATTGCACAATGCACTGGTAGATTGAGGACTATCAAATAACACCTAAGATCTCTATTACTTGAAAACATGGTCCCCCTCCCCCTCATTGTGGGGGTGGCTCTTTATAGGCACCAGATATTGGTCCTCCCACGTAAGGGGCCACTGAGTTACCATGATTTAACTCTTCCACAATTCCTGTAAAGCCAGGGTGTGGGGCCCCTAGGGTGAGGGATTTCACCTTTTGCACGTAAGGATTGGCAAATTAGTTATGCATCATAATAGGTTAATGCAATGTGACATTTCCATAACAAGGAGTCAAATACCTGTAAAGTGTCAACTGTTCTTTCTAGTTCAGCAATGTATTGGAGTTTACGGACTCTCGACCTCTGCCCAGGGTGCCTGCATATAATATTCCGGGATATGGTCAGATTCCCAACTTTTCACTCCAAAATAACAGTTCTAGTAGCAATTGTATCGCTTAAAGTTACAGACTCAGAGCACGCACAAGATATTTTGATAGTAACGATTTTGCTGCAGCCCAAATCAGAATAGGTGATGGGCATCAAATAATTTACAGCCAAACTATTAAAACCAAAGAAATGAGATATGCTAAGCATTATTCAATCCGAAAGTTGGACAATCAATAAATAAACACTTGCAAAACATGACCTCAGGAGTTCACTCTTTTCATGTCTATAAAGTCTAAATTACATTATTATATGCTACACAGGCTGAGGCAGATAATGTAATCAAACACTGATAATAACATAAATTCACCATGACATAAGAAACATGTGAGTCAAGATTCTAACCTCTTAACCGGTTTTGCCTCCATATTGTTCTCGCCACTGGAATCCCCGGCTGGATCCTGCTGTCCAGTTTCAGGAAAAGAAAGACTCCAATCTGAACACTGCATGGCATTTTGAGAAACGTATTCTGATAGGGCTGAGACGATGGCATTATCTGGAAAGGTCACTTTGCTTTTCCCTCGAGGGGAATTAGGACCATAAAGACAATCAGATTTCGACCCATCATCAGATTCACCACAACCAGCTCCAGATTCTTCTGCCTCGTCAAGTTTACTTAGATTTGGCAACAGTGTCAAAGAGTCACTAGCAGACCGTCTGTGTAATACCCCACAACCATTCGATTCAGACTCACACAGCAGTTCCTCAAGCCATGCCGGTTGCTCATCTATGATCAAGCTTTGAGAAGCAGACTTATGGTGCTGAGGCCTAAACCGGTTGTCTTTGTGCAAAGTCGGGGAAACAATGGTTTTCTTCTGAAGGGGACAGCGAGGGGGAAGATGAGCTTGCCTTGACATGTTCGGTTAAACTAATTGGTGGATCAAAACGCCTACCAATTTTTGTTCATTCTTTTAGCACCTTTCTACTCCCTTCACAACAAAATCAACTAAACCAGGCCTGAATCTCATCTCCCTGCCTCCACCCTACATCCTTAATTTATACAAGATTTATACAGGAACATGAAAATTAAACTGCCATTAAAACCAAAAACCCAAATCTTGTATTGGGAAAAAGAAATTATGAATCACTTAAACAGACCAAAATTAGGAACACCATAGACTGTGAGAACACACCACAATTTAACATAAAAGAAAAAACTTTGGGATCTGACATCTGAAATTGACTCAACCAACAGCTACAATCTAAAAACAGAGAAGAGTTTCAGTAAAGCTGCTAACTCTTACCATCTTCATATAGGACAAATGTTACAAAAGGAAAAAAAAAAAAAAAAAAAAAAAAAAGATAGTGATGAACAGTCAGTTCAGTGAAATAAAATATCATATACAGACAACCCCTTCATCTTCAAAACATGAACAGTATAGCTTTAAAAAAAACGCAGAAAAAGAGTGCATGAAAATTAAAAACTCCGATCCAAGACTAAAACCTAAATGGCCGCTGAGAAAATGGAGAAAATTCAAAGCAATCCGAGAGAAAGGAAAACTGAAACGAAAAGAAAATGCAACCACATAAGAAATCTACATTTTCTCTCGATTGAATACCGAGAAAAGAAAACCAAAACAGTAAATCAATGAAAAATGGGTTCCATCCCAGGCAAGAAAACAAGAACAAAGGGCTTAAAGCTCTCGACTTTATCGTCCCCACCCGAAATTTTCACAAACCAGAACGCAAGAATCACCAATACAGCAGACACAAGATTTAAAACCCAAAAAAAAAAAAAGCGTAAACGAAAGATGCTTTGGAAAATTCTTGGAGGTAATTTCAGGCATACCTTTATATATTTAGAATTTAATCTTACGGGTATTTCCTGAAGAAGAAGAAGAAGGAGATTAAGAGAGCTGGCACGGCGGCGGAGGGGTTGCGAGAGTGGAAGGTTTTACGCCGGAGTTTGGGTATCAATGGGACGCTAAAGCTTGAAGATTTTTTCTTTTTTATATAGAAAGAGAAGAGATGCAAGTTGCTATAAGAAGGGTTTAATTAGGAAGATACGGATACGATACAAAGACGCAGCGACTCCATACTCATTGAGTGAAGGATTGTACGGACTAATGGCGTTTTGTTTGAGTTGTGCACAGCTCAGCTCAGTTGCCCTTTTTCCATTTCTTACGTTGCGTACAGATTTTCATGCATTTTTCTATCTTTCTTTCTTTTGTTTTTTGGAAATTTGTCCTTTTTTATTTCTTCTCCTCTTTTCAAACAGAAAATGTATCTTAGTAAACAACATGTTTGGTTTCTGAGAAATTGAAATAGAAAATTGTTGTCTGTTGGAATATTTTTAACTATAAGGAATGAGAATGGAAAAGGGGAGTTAGATTAGAGTCTAAAAATAGTGATTTAATGGGACTATTTGAAGTTGTAGTCGAGTTGAAGTCAGTACATAATATTTATTATATGATATGATCTTGACAAAAAAAAAAAAGAAATAAATATTTTTTTTCATGAATTACTCGTGGTAAAATTTATTATGAATTAATGCATAATAATAATAATAATAATAATAATAATAATAATAAATGGTGTGATTAATAAGAAATGATTTATATAGAATTGTTTAATATTGCTCAAAGTTATATATATATATATATATATATATATATATATATATATATATATGTGTGTGTGTGTGTGTGTGCGCGCGCGCGCGCGCGCGCAGTATAACTCTTGGGAGCATAATTTAACTGGTCAACGAAGTGTGTGTGAGTGTGTACACGTTAACTGGTCAACGAAGTGTGTGTGAGTGTGTACACGTGCAGTATAACTCTTGGGGGCATAATTTAACTGGTCAACGAATTTAAAATAAGTTTTTACTAGTACGTAGTCGCAAGGTGTACAAGTATTTTGAGGCCTATGAGCTAGTTGAGACACAACCCTTCTCCACCGGTCTCCGATGAAAGAATGGAAATTTGGGGTTCAAATTTATAAATATATGAGCAATACAAATACAAAAGTTTACATAATAATAAATATTGACATGATGACTTGCGATTTACCTCATCCAACAACTCTTGAATAGGGATTCGAGAGTTTAAAATAAATTTGGCTTAAGCTGAAAAACTTAATATATCATCAACAATAATAATAACACATAATTTGTTCGAACAATGAAAGTACTTTAATTTCTTGGAACTCTTTCATGGTTACGTTACGTTACAGGTTATGATTCACTTAATTACAATTACACTACCTTAAACTCTATTAAAGTAAACGTAGATTATATTGTAGAACAAGATTTATTAAATTTTAAAGTATGAAAATTATAAAGCATGCAACACATGTTTCTTTTTCTCCAAAACTTCAAACTGTTGGCACTATGCATATTATTGATGATCTTGAATTTCCACTTCCTCAAGCTAGGCTTTATTTAGCCAAATAATGTTAAACTTCCCACCATGCATCTCAAAATACAATATTATATATATATATATATATATCACCTTTAAGTTTGCTTTGTTTGCATATACACTAATAAAATCAATTTTACGTACAACTCAATATAATATTTGTGTATATATTATTGGAAGTTTGGTCCAAGCACCAAATGGAAACTTGTTACACTAAATCAAAGTATATATAAATGCTATAACTTGCCAATACCATAGAGCTATATATATATATATATATATATATATATATATATATATATATATATATATATATATATAGATATCGTCCCCAATTTCACAATTTTAGGTTGGGAGAAAATTAAAAATTGTTGGCTTGCATTGATGGGTACAAGGCATCTTGGGAGAAAGGACCAAGCTAAGGCAAATGGAGTGACGTATAATACTTTGGCCATAGCAAATCCTTGTTTGTCTACTAAATTAAAGACTAATAATTTAGATGTATGTAATCGTGTCAATACAATTATTAAAGTTATGCAAGGTATGGTGTGATGAGACAAGAGGGCAAGGTTATAGTACGAATTGGAAGGCTCTAGCTTCACATGGATGGGTGTTATTTAAATATTGAATTGTTCAAAGATGTCCAATATATATATATATATATATATATATATATATATATATCATCTCTAACCGAGAGTTAAAGATCAAATGAAAACGAGCACTTAGGTGTGAATGTGCAAATGCGCACCACACTAAATTATAGAGTATATCTTACTCACAAACTATAGAGTATATCTTATGATATGTAAAGAGTGCGTAATTCAAGAACTAGTATACGTTGTAGTTATTCGTATAGAGCTCTGAGTATATCGAGCTTATGATATGTAAAAAGTGTGCAATTCAAAAACTAGTATGCGTTGTAGTTTTTCGTGGTGCGCTTTTAAAATTTCACATGTTTCTTGAGTGCACTTTTACGTATCATAAGATATGATGCACTTTATAGTTTTGCACGATGCACGTGTTCTCACCTGATGCGATCCATCTTGTGAATGGCATTGAAAGATTTTGATTATTTCCACTTTGGCATTGTTATGTTTTAAAAAAAAATAAGAGATACTTTTATATGTTTTGTTGGAAAATAATATAATGATGAAGCAGATATTTTGAAGAGAAACTTGATTGAGCAAGGAATGAAATCACATATTAGTGGTGTGGAGTGGGGATGATCAAGGGACCACAATTATCTTACACAAAGAACTTGTACTAGCTATATTTCTGAAATATATACTACTAAAAAAGTATAGTATTTATATACTTTGGGATATAATTATTTTATTACGCAAACTCATGACTTCTCATTTGGGAGAGTCACTTCGTGCCACTAGATCACAAGGTTATTAATCATCCCAATGTCAACAATTTTTGTTGATTAATAGGTTATAAATTCTCTATAAATTTTTAAATTTTTATTTACGGTAGTACACTTGCATTTAAACTTTTAGAACTGTACCGAAAGAAAACATAAAATTTACCCATAATATGTTGTTTGTCTTATATTTCTTTATAATAATCAAATGAAAAAGGAATTAGTGTGTTAGTGGGGGATGTGAATCTTTGTTGGGGTTGGTGATCAATCAAAGATAATACAAGTTGTTTATTAATTAGTATAGCTGTCAACTTTTTTTTTTTTTTTTTTTCGAATGCTACAGCTCTATTACATTGTAGTATCTGTTCATATATTTTTTCACAAAGAGCTAATAACGCCTCTACTGAGACTCGAACTCACAATCTTCCAAATGGAAGTCCAACCCGGATACCATTAGACCACATAGTCCTGGTAGTATAGCTGTCAACTTGATTATACCTTTTTGTGTGTATCTCGGTTGTTCAAATGGTCTTTCAACTTGCCTTTAAAAAATTTAATTACTATGTATTTAAAATAAAATATTAGTTCCTTTAAAAAAAATTAGTTAATTAATAAGTATAGCTAACTTAACAGGGTAGATCAAGTGACAAATAAGCTTCTCTGTATGGAAAAATTTCAGGATAACTTGGGTTCGATTTCCACAAGTGATGATTCCCCTTAGTCGGGATGGACCTAGACCGTGCGGTTAACCGCACAGAGAAAGACTCGGACCACTTCCATATGTCAAAAATTAAAGTCTGGTCTTGCCCGTAGTATAAATGGGCTAGCCCTAGTTCGTTTATTGTAATAAATGTATCGGACCAGGCCGACCCAAAATAGGTCGGGCATGGACTAGACTTCGGGTTAACTCGTCTGTTTGGCACCTTTACTTGGAAGTTGGGACCCACAAAATGAAGATAACTTATCATCTCTTGACACATTAATGAGTAAAAGTGAGAAAATAAAGATTGAGAGTCCATGTAATAAAACTTGAAAGATATTGATCATACTATCATAGTAATTTTTTTTCTTCTTCTTTCTTTTCCCATGTGATCAAATTGTACTTATGCTCAAGCCCAAACTCCATAACAACCCAACTTCTTATTGTTGTTTTCTTTTTAATGTATATAAACAAATTGATTAAATGAAAACTCTAACCTTCAAAATTCGTCCTTATCCTGATATTTTTCCAATACTCTGCAAGCCTCTCCACTATCGGTTTATCAGATCAGAACTTGCATATGAATTGTATATTGCAACCATGTGAGGCTACAATCATTTTTATTGAAAAAAAAAAAAAAACACCAAAACTTGTATTTGCACTATTATATATTTATATTATGTAAATCTTCCATGTTATAAGACTTGAGAAGAACAAACAAACTCCTCTCCACTCTGATAACGACAATTAACAAGAAAAAAAAAAGAATGATATCGATGTCTATATCTTTATTTATGGCTAAAAAAGTGTAACTAAAAGGGAGGTTTAAAAAATTATATTAAAGAGTTTTGTTTTTTAAATCTCATATAATATTATAATTATTACAACAAATTCTAGAGTGCCAACATATTTATTTACTCCACATTATTTTATGCATGTTTTTTTTAAAAAAATAATGGAGAGAAATACACAAAAGAGTAAAAATATAAAAACACAAATCAATACATTTCAATGCAACAACATTAGTTGCAAGTAAATGATGAGTAACCCTGTTGATAATTTTTTTCCCCTACTTTAGAAGAAAGAGAAGATGATGCCATGAAAGAAAGATTAAATAAAGATTTTTGCTAAAGAACTAAAAAAAAAAAAAAAGTAAAATGTGTAGTTGAACAACATGCTAGGTGTCTGCTAGCAATCCCTAGCATGCATTGCCACTCTAATTCTCTTGCCTTTTTTAATTTCTATCTCTCTATTAAATACAAATGGATTGTAAATTGATGTCCATAAAAAACTTGCAAATAAAGCATACCATTACCATCGAGCATGCTCTTAGAGAGTTGTCAAATATATGTATATAATTTTTAATGGACCGAATCCACCATAAAATTAGAGATAATATTAGGAATTTGAGTTAAATATAATAATATATTTAAAAGAGTTTAAACCCTTAAAACATTGCAATGTGCTACAATTGGAATAATAAAATATGAAGTTAAAACTGGCCTATTGACATAATGTACAACCCAACTTACGTACCCACTAGAAAGCTAGTTGGAAGTTGCCCACCTGCCTTACTATCAAGACAGAATAACCAACAACCAATGATAAGTGAGGTGAAGTAGTTAAGTGGAAGTCTTGGTTGCAAAAGAGAGGTGATAATGTCTAGAAGTGATAAGTTGCCTCCCTTTTTGTATTATGTTTTGAGCAAAGACCGTGGTCATGACTAATGGATCAAGGAACCTAGCAAATCGAAGCCACCCACATACCCTTGCAAATTGCCAACCTGTTTGTAGCCTAAGAAGCTAGACGACTTGGACCAACTTACACCATTGACCACCCACAATGACAGCTGGTTAGTTGGCCATGAATGAGGGCTAGTTCGACATCGCGCCCAAAAGCCGTTGGGGGTTGGGGGAAAAATTAGCCCCCCTCTCCCTTGGGTACTTCCACCCCCCTCCCCCCCCCCTTTTTTTGCTCTAATAATGTGCAACCAAATACACCCTTAATGCTCATTTTTTATGTTGCCACATTTTTGCATCTTGCACTCTATGCATTTTCATACTTTGGCCTTGAAATTTTCTATCTAGACTCACTTAGGACCCATCCTTCCAATATTTGCACATTAATCCCCAACTATTTCTCAACTCAATCGCATCATTAACTTTCTTCCCCTCCTAAAAAAAAAAAAAAAAAAAAAAAAAAAAAAAAACATTTCTTCCCCTCTAATTTAGGCCCCAAAAACCTTAATTATGGGTGGGTTCCAATTATTTCCTAAACACAATTAACCCCCAAAATTTTGTTCTCTAGCCCAGTTATCTTAAACCCAAATCCCATGATTTCATTATAAATCTCATGGACAAATTATTATATGGACCATAATCCATACAATGTTATGTGAACCATAACAAAAAATACATTTTTAATATACTAAATGTACATTATTTTTGTACTGAATATATATTATTTTACAATAGATAAAATATGATCCACACAACTTGTATGGACCATGGTCCTGAGATACCGTCCAAATAGTGCCCTCCATTATAAAGAGACCATTTGATTTATACATTTATTAACTTCCTCGTGAACATATATTATAAAACAATATCCTAATATAGTATGTGAGAAGAGACGTGGAATATTACTTTTTCTTTCATTCTAAGGAAACCAGTAAACCAAGATTGACCAATTGAATATTGTAGACCATTCTGGATTCTTCTTTTCGCACACATATATCATGCCGCCTGTCAATAAATCTGGACCGTCCAAACTGCCCCAACTCTAATATAGCCTCCGATTCAACACCGCTCAAACCCTCTCTCTCTCCCCTCGCCGGAAAAAAAGATCAAACTTACAAGCTCTCGCCTTTCCGTCTACGCTCCCTTCGATTCTCATCGGTGAGTTCTCTCTCTCTCGCGCGCTTGCGCGCTTGAACTACAACTGTAAGTTTGTGTATCTGTATGTATAGATCGCACTGACAGGTCTGTCTTAGGGTTCGCAGATTCGTGAAAGATGTTTGGGAGGGCGCCGAAGAAGAGCGACAACACCAAGTATTATGAGATCTTGGGAGTTTCCAAGAACGCTTCTCAGGAAGATCTCAAGAAGGCCTACCGTAAATCCGCCATCAAGAACCACCCCGATAAGGGTGGCGATCCCGAGAAGGTATACAATTTTTTATTTCTTTCTGTGTAATTAGCGATTCTAATTTTGATTTCTCAATTCTGTTTGTAGATATTGACAGTTTGATGTGTGTTCTTAGTGATTCTTGTTTACCTGATGATCCGTGTTTTTGGAAATAATCAGTAGTGTTGTGTTTTTACTTGGAAGATTTCAATGGAAAACGTCTCTCTTTTTGTAGTTTTCAGTCGAAATTAGCTCGTTTTATTGAGTTCCCAATGCCCATAGCAATCTAAGATTTCCAATATGTAGCTTTTTTAATGTCTGTGCAATTTGTGCTTATTCATATATTGCCAATTCTAGTCAGAAGTTTTGAGCTTTTCTATTGTTTCCTATCTCAAATTTGAATCTATGTTTTTTTGCTGCACTTGAGACCTGGAGTTTTAATATCTCTTTGTGAAATGTTTACCTAGTCATTGTTGAGGAAGAAGTGGTTTTTTACATGTTTTGCTTTTGTGAATGGGCGCCTTGTTTCAGTTCAAAGAGCTTGCTCAAGCTTATGAGGTTCTGAGCGACCCAGAGAAACGTGAGATTTATGATCAGTATGGTGAAGATGCATTAAAGGAAGGAATGGGTGGTGGTGGTGGTATGCATGATCCATTTGACATCTTCCAATCCTTCTTTGGTGGCAATCCATTTGGTGGAGGAGGAAGTAGCCGAGGCCGCAGGCAAAGAAGAGGGGAGGATGTTGTTCACCCCCTTAAGGTGTCATTAGAGGACCTCTACAATGGAACATCAAAAAAGCTGTCTTTATCACGAAATGTGCTCTGCCCAAAATGCAAAGGCAAAGGGTCCAAGTCTGGTGCATCAATGAAATGTTCTGGCTGCCAGGGCTCCGGGATGAAAGTTTCTATTAGACAACTCGGGCCGTCTATGATCCAGCAGATGCAGCATCCTTGCGGCGAGTGCAAGGGTACTGGTGAGACTATTAATGAGAAAGATAGGTGCGGGCAGTGTAAGGGTGAGAAGGTTGTGCAAGAGAAGAAGGTGTTGGAAGTCCTTGTTGAGAAGGGAATGCAGAATGGTCAAAAGATTACATTCCCCGGAGAGGCTGATGAAGCTGTAAGTCTATTAGTGTTATTCGTTTATTATCTAAAGAATCTATCACTGGTTTCTCATTGACTCTATTTGCTCCTTTCTCAGCCGGACACTATCACAGGAGACATTGTGTTTGTCTTGCAACAAAGGGAACACCCTAAGTTCAAGCGAAAGGGAGATGACCTTTTCGTGGAGCACACCTTAACCCTAACAGAAGCCCTTTGCGGTTTCCAGTTTATCTTAACACACCTAGACAATAGGCAGCTCCTCATCAAATCACAACCCGGAGAAGTTGTTAAGCCTGGTATGTAACTTCTGATGTATTCCTATACTCTATGGTGTCTTTTTTGAGGTATTGAATATTGATCCTAACATTTGGCGCTGCACAGATCAATTCAAGGCCATAAACGACGAAGGAATGCCCATGTATCAAAGGCCATTCATGAGAGGAAAGCTGTACATTCATTTCACAGTTGATTTTCCAGAGTCATTATCCCCTGAGCAATGCAAGGGTCTCGAGGCTGTGCTGCCGCCTAAGCCCACAACAGGAATCACCGACATGGAACTGGATGAGTGCGAGGAAACCACCTTGCACGATGTCAATATCGAAGAGGAGATGCGTAGGAAGCAGCAGCAGCAGGCACAGGAAGCATATGATGAAGACGATGATATGCATGGCGGGGCACAGAGAGTACAATGTGCCCAACAGTGAGTGATGAAAACAAGGTGGAGACAACTCATGGGGTGACCTTTCCTTATCACAACTAGGATTTACAGATTGATAGTTAATTCCTGAATGGTTTCTGAATTTTTGTGTGTAATGCAAAACTTGGTTATAAATATTAAACTTTGATGGTTTCTTCATATCTTCCTTGTTGTGGAAGCTGCCTGCACAAGTGCCAAATCAGAGATGTTAGGTGAATGAAGTCAACTCAACCATTCCCCCCAGCAAGCTTGTAAAGCACTCTATCTTTACAAATTAAATCACTTTAAATACCCTCCATTCCTTCATCACACAACCTAAATCAATATCTTCATCTCTTGACAATGAATCCCAGAATCAAGAGCAGTAGTGAATCAGCTGAACTAGTTTCTTCCATAGATGATCTCTTACTCCAAATACTGTTGCTTCTGCCTATCAGATCACTCATTCGTTTCAAATGCGGATCCAAACACTGGCTCTCTCTGATTACCAATCCAAGATTTTCTCTGCTTAGAAATCCCAATCCTGCAATTGGCTTGTTCTTCCATCGCAGAGATTTTCATATCAACCCAGAATATGATTACATCCACTTTGATACTCAGAGCCAGACAAATCCTCCTTTCAAGAAGCTCAGATTCACTGAGGAGAATTCCATCAGCACCATCTGCATTCTGCAATCTTGTAATGGACTGCTGCTTTGCTCTAACTTTGTCACTTCCCACAGGTCTAAACGGAACTACTACGTCTACAATCCCACAACAAAACATTTCTCCACACTCCCAAACACTTCCCATGTTGTTCTTGGAATGAGCTTGACTTTTGACCCTGCAAGCTCACCTCACTACAAGGTTTTCTGCATTCGCAAATCTGAGTCTGCTCGTAACCATTACCAGATTGAAGTTTATTCATCTGATACTGGTCCCTGGAGAGCCGTGGGAGATCCATTTGTTTCCAATGCTTGTTTCGGGAATGGTGTGTACTGGAATGGCATGATACACTGGATTAGCCCGGGAGACAATTTTTTGAACTTCACCATCTTGTGTTTCAATGTTGATCTGGAAACGCGGGGAGAAATGCCCATGCCACCGGCTCGCCAAGGGGGATACGTTGGCTTCTTTGGAGAATCTTGTGGTCACTTGCATCTTATTGCAACTTATGAGGCAGAAGGTGAAATTGACGTGTACGAGATGAAGGGCGACTGTTCTGAGTGGTTTGTCAAGTACAAGGTTGATGTTAGGCAGGTTTTATGTTGCATTTCCTGGGATGGTTAGGGAAAATTTTAGGCCAGGAGATTGGGGTTACTATGCATTCGCCATTTTAAGTCTGGTACGAGGTAAGAGAGAAGGTGATGATTGTTTTCTGGTACTGGAAATCCCAGGAAAGGCCATAAGGTACAATCTTGTGGATGGGAGTGTTGATATGCTTTGTGAGTTTGAGGGTGCTGAGAAACAGTCGTCCCTCAGATATCTTGACCTTGGCTTTCAGTATATTGAGTCTCTTTGTTGTGTTTGAATCCTAGGTTTATTTGGATTGTAATCATCATTAATAATTTTTATGAATTGATTTACTATAACATCTGTTTTAATCTCTTTGGCTGAAACAAAAAAGGTCAATAGAACGTTCCATTACTAAGAGTTGAATTTGTAACTTTGTTGTTACCAAATCAACAAAATGACCAACTTAGCTGAAATTATAACTTGATCGAATAAGTTATTTTTTTAGGCGACGAAAGAAACCTGTGGTCACTATTCGATGGTGTGCACAGGATAAATGACGCATTGTGCTCCTAACCAGCAAAAGACTACAAAGAGGTAAACCAACTTAGGTTACGCATAAGTTTTTATTGAATGGGCACATTGATTGGTACGTAGCTTGAAAATAAAAGAGGTAAACCAACTTAGGTTACGCATAAGTTTTTATTGATGAAATAAGTTTTTATTGAATGGGCACATTGATTGGTACGTAGCTTGAAAATATATTGGAGGGACAGGAAGAACAAGAACAACCTTCCAAACATACAAAATGAAAATTAACAGTCAAATTGTGGACGTTTACGAAGAAATCAAAGGCAAAATACTTAAAATATTCCACCAAGGATTTACAAGGCCATAAGTTTAATACAAAGAACCAAAAAATTGCACCTGTCATTGACAACCATTATTAGTACGTCAATGTTACATTGGGTTTAAACCAGAAACAACGTTGTTTTTTAGGTTAAAAAAACAAGGAGATATCATATCACTCAAACAACAAAAGAAAAATGTTGGGTTTATAAAGGGGATGATTGGGAGAAGATTAAGGTAAGATTAGCAATGGGTTCCCCAGTAGTTTCACCATTGATAAACCTTGTGGTGAGAGTGTTTACAATAATCCTTTTAGTGGCTTCTCTCATTGTTCTTGCAACTGATAATATTACTTATGGGCTTGGTTTCTATGATTACGGTTATCAATTCAAGTTCACTGATATTTATGCTTACCGGTAAATATTCTATTTTTTTTTTTTAAAACTTAGAAAACATATTTATTTATCTATTTTATTAACATTATTGGTGATTAAAATTATGCAGTTACATGCTTTCTGTGATGGTTATTGGGTTGGTGTGGATTCTCCTTCAATCTGCCTTCACAATCTTCCATTTTAGCTCTGGAAATCCCCTTGGTGGAAATGCTTTTGCCCATATCGAATTTTATGGTGACAAGGTAAATATTATATCAAATATCACTGTTTGATAATAATAATAATAATAAATCAATAATAACGAGTGTTTTAACCGTACGTGCATAAAATATTGTTACATATGATATGAGACAGTTAAAATAGTTAATTTGGGTACAATGCAGGTAATTTCGTACTTGCTAGGCACAGGGGCGGCTGCAGGTTTTGGACTAACGGTTGACGCGAAACGGTTTTCTGAATTGGATTCATTCGAAAATGATTTCTTCAACAAAGCTAACGCTGCTGCGAGTCTTCTCCTTATTGCCTTCTTCTTGTCTGCTATTTCCTCTGTGTTTTCTTCCTATAATCTCCCCAAGGCGGTTACCGCCGCTTAATGCCTCGCCGCCGCCATCCGGAAAATAATTAATGTCAATCCGCCGCTTCCCGGCCACCTTTGCTTTTGCTCACTCAATTGTAATTTCGACCAATAAGTATCAATGACGACGACATTGTTGATTTGAATTGTTTTGTTTAATTTAGTATAGTATTTGCATGCAATTTGCTACCAAATAAAAGAGGTGCGTTATTTTTAGAGTTAATACCCAAAATCGTCCTCGATTATAGTGGTTTTTCTTAATTTCGTCCTAAACGATTTTGGTGACCTAATATCGTCCCAGACTTTTGTGTTTCGCTCAATTTAGTCCTCCATTTGTTATTCCGTCAAATTGGTGTTAAATAAAGGGGCAATTCAGTAATGTCAATATTGATCTCTCTTTACTTTCAACTTGTGAAGTGTAAAATTCCTCTTTCTTGTACGAATTACACCCAGAATTACTTCTGGACCTGCAAATCAAATTTTATATTTGCAGTTTTAGGATTAATTCTGGGAGTAATTCGTAAAAAAAAAAGGATTTCGCAGTTCACATGTCTATGAGTAAAGAGATGCCAATATTAAAATTACTGAATTGTCTATTTATTTAACACCAAATGGACAGAATAACAAATGAGATACTAAATTGAGCAAAAACACAAAAGTCTGGGACTAAATTGAGCGAAACACAAAAGTCTGGGACGATATTAGGTCACCAAAGTCATTTAGGACGAAATTGAGAAAAACCACTATAGTCGATGACGATTTTGGGTATTAACTCGTTATTTTAAAGTGTGCATTTCTAAACACATTACAGAAAATCTAATCCAAATCCTCAATATTCGTAGTAAAAATTAAACCTTCATTTTATTATTAAAAGGAATAAGGGTCAAATAGGCCATCGAACTGCACATGATAAAACAATTAGGCCACTGAACCTAAAAAACCAACAATTAGGTCCCTAAACTAATCAATTTCAAACAATTATTCCAATTTGAAGGTTTCCAACAGGTCAACAGGTCATCTCCCAAATTAATTATTTTTTAAAAAAATAAATATTAAAAATTAATTAGTTTTAAATTAAACTATTAAAAAAAATTTGGAATCCAGCCGAAGACTACCGTCTCCGGCCGGAACCAGTTTTTTTTTTTTTTTTTTTTTTTTTTTTTTTTTTTTAACAGTTTAATTTAAAACTAATTAATTTTAAAAAATAATTAATTTGGAAGGATGACCTGTTGACCTGTTGGAAACCTTCAAATTGAAAAAATTGTTTGAAATTGATTAGTTTAGGGACCTAATTGTTGGTTTTTTAAGTTCAGTGGCCTAATTGTTTTATCGGGTGCAGTTTGATGGCCTATTTGACCCTTATTCCTTATTAAAATAAATTTTAAGTGTGATTATTCATCCATTAGATTAATGCCCAAATTACTGTTCAGTGACTTTGAAGAATGATTTTCTTTCTAATTAAATTTAATTTAAATTTCCATTCACTTAACCAATTTATAAAATTTCATGATAAGTGACTTCCTAGACGTGCATAGAGACAACAAATTGGACAAAAACTCATTTTCTAGTAGTTTTCTCACTGAAAATTGATGTTTTCCAATACTTAATTATTTTTTTTTTTATAACCCTATATGCATATAATTTACTTAGTGATTGAGATATAATGTAATCTATAATTTAATCAAATAAGTTGAATCAAATGGGCACAATGATTGGTAGCTTGACAATCCAAAACATTCATATAACTTTTCAAACAGATATACATTAATTCAGACAAAATAAAGATTTGTCCACTAATCATGGGAGTTTATGAACAAACCAAATGCAAAACACTCTAATTTTCTACTAAAAGAAAATTGTAGTTTTAGTCCTCGAGTTATAAATTAGATGTAATTTTTGTCCCTAATTAACATGGAGTCATAATAGTACTTATGCTTTAATCAGTGACCAAATGTGACTAATTGAGTCTTTTTTGCAAAAGGTTGAATCTCCATGCCCGACAGAGCATGTGGGAAGAGGTAAACCACACATGTAATTCAGTCGCTCTTTAAGTATATATAATCCTCACACTGCCGCTGTCGAGTTTTGAACTTTGGTCTCTTCTTTCAAATATTGTCTACTAAACCACTTAACTAAGCTCGTGCGAGCATGACTAATTGAGTCCTTATTATGATTGATGATTGTGTTATTTTGGACATAAACCTAAATAATACTAATATAAAAAGTACAAAATTGCATTTTCAGTATGATTTTCTTGGGCAAAAACTAAACAATACTTATCAAATTCCTACTACACATTGGAAATAATATTTATGAATGATTCAATTGATTTTGGATGGAGGTTTAAGGTATTCGTAACATGAAAATTAGAATCATTGATTGTTGAAATAAATATCTATGACGTTTAGAAATTAATAAATGACCTTCGATTAAAACTTATAAATTTTCTTGTCCAAAATAACAACATTTGTCAAAAAATAACTAAATGTATGTCCGCATTAGTAATTAATCAGGATTACTATACACTTTGTATATAACTTAGGGATTAAACCTGCAATTACTAATTAAGGATTTTTGCAGGCCACAACAACTATTGACAACCATTATATTGTTATTAATTAATGCCAGATTTGGATTAGAACAGAAAACAATGGTGTCGTTTAGGTAGAAGAACAAGAAAACATCACACAAACAACAAAAGAAAAATGTTGGATTTTCACTTGTTTATAAAGAGGATGATTAGGAGAAGATTAAGTTAAGATTAGCGATGGGTTCTCCAGTAGTTTCACCATTAGTAAGCCTTGTGGTGAGAGTGTTTACAATAATCCTTATAGTGGCTTCTCTCATTGTTCTTGCAACTGATAATATTACTTATGAGCTTGGTTTCTATGGTAACTCTTATCAGCTTAAGTTCACTGATATTTATGCTTACCGGTAATTTTTTTTTTTTTTTTTTGGGTTTTTAATTAAAAAAAATATATTTATTTATCTATTTGATTAAACTTTGTTGGCCTGGTGATTAAATTAATTATGCAGTTACATGCTTTCTGTGATGGTTATTGGGTTGGCGTGGATTCTCCTCCAATCTGCCTTCACAATCTTTCATTTTAGCTCTGGGAATCCCTTTGCTGGTGAGGCTTTATCCCATATCGAATTTTATGGGGACAAGGTAAAAATGACATCAAACATCTTCGTCTGTTGAGAAATTTCATATTTATCACCATCACAAAGTAGATTCCGACTTTGGGTGTTTGGTAAATTGTTGTTAATTGATAGCTGTTAGCTGATTGTGTTAATGAGTTTGATTAGTTGAAAGTATTAGATAATTGTAGAAAATGTTTGATAAATTAGTTGTCAGCTGATAGCTGATTTCATGCAAAATGACTTTGTCAAAAAACGGATCGAAAAAACTACTAAATTTTTGAATTTTAGCAATTTTGAAGCAATAAGTTTGTTACAAAATGTTAATTAATAAAACATTCATATTGATTGTTTAATCAAGTGAAAACAACTAATAGTGATAAAATAAGTTAAAATGGGCTGATAAGTTTTTTTTTTTTTTTTGAATGCTACTGGCTCTATTACATTGTAGTATCTGTTCATATACTTTCTCAACCGACTGAAACACAAAGAACCAATAACGTCTCCATTAAGGTTCGAACTCACAATCTTTCAAATGAAAATTTAACTTGAGTATCATTAGACCACATAATCCTGGTAATGGGCTGATAAGTTAATTATTTTGGTTGCAGGTAATTTGCAACTTGCTAGGCACAGGTGCGGCGGCCGGTTTTGGATTAACGATTGACGCAAAACGAGCATTAAAACTGGATTCCATCCAAAATGATTTCTTCAACAAAGCTAACGCTGCTACAAGTCTTCTCCTTATTGCCTTCTTGTTGTCTGCTATTTCCTCTGTGTTTTCTTCCTATAATCTCCCCCCCAAGGCTGTAATCGCTGAAGCCACTCCGGCCACCCCTCCCACCGCTTAATGCCGCCGTCAATCCGCCGCTTTCCGCCTGATTATTCACATTTAACAGTTGGAGAGATTGATTTTGTTTGTCATTTTGAATGATATAAATTTCCATATTTGTTTCCCCCGTTGTATTTTGTTTGTTTTGATGAATAAATTTTTGATATTAACTTTCAAAAAAAAGTATTGATATTAAAGATTAACAAATAGTCAAATACGGAGTAATATAATTATTGGAGTAATTTTTAGTCCTTCAATTATTCTTTGTTAGTTGTTTTAGTTCATAATTTTTTATTATTGTAATATATACTCTTAACTTTTTTTAAAAAAAGTTACGGAGTACAATTCTAACTCCTGAAATAATAAAAGTATTAAATTTTATTTAATTCATGATGATAGAGAATATTCTCAGGGTGTACTTCTCCGTTACGTGCCATATACCTACTCGATATCCGGTCAGCTCAATAAGAGGGATCATTCTCGAACATTACCAACCACAAAGTCCACTGACCCGACCCGGTGTGCAGGACTGAACAGGCTCAATCAATAGCAATACCTAATTGTCTTTTAGTTCGCCCCAACCATCTTAGGTCGAGAATGATCACCCGACCCTCACTACTTTGAGCCTTGAGACTTATTTCTTTACTCAAATCCGGAAGCTACATAAACGAGGGAGTCAGGAATCTCGGTACACGTGGAGGAATTAATGAAGCCTCCGACCTCCCCTTGTGCATAAGGTCCACGTGTTACACATGTCAGGAGACCGGCATGTGTTCTATTCAACATCTGTAAATACGACATTAAAAACTTGGCATGGAAACTTTTGACATCTTCTCACCTAATACATTTAAGCTCGACACCCTCTAATTTTAACACTATTATCCAAATCCAAGACCAAGATAAAAAAAAAAAAAAAAAAAAAAAAAAAGACTAATTTAGGATTCTTCTATAACTCAATCCGAATAATTATACATATCAATGAATACCACCGTATTTACACTATCAAGGGTATAGCATTTCCTGTAGATGAAATGCTTGAAAATCTTAAATCACATAATTACAATATTTATTCAAATCATATCAATTGGAGTAATTAATTTTTCACCAAAAATTGCACGTGGGAAAATATAAATTTAAAACATTAAAAAAAAAAAAAACATTTTATGGCAGTAGGGCCTATCGGTTAACGACATGATTTAGGAAAGTGAAAGAGCAGGAAAAGAAAATGAAGCCCCCACCACCTTATCATTTTCGAAATTTAAAAATACCCTAAAATGCAATTTCTAGCCGTTAACCTGTCAGTCCCAGGATCCAGCTTCACATTTTCGTTTGCTCCCAACCCAAATTCAATCTCCACTTTTCTTTCACTCACAAATCACAAATTCTTTCTTTCTGTTTTGCAGATTCTGGAGATACCCGAACTTCAGATTGTTCCCAGAAAAATAAAAAAGATGAATTCTGTGAAGGGAAAGTTTCTGAAGAAACTGAAGACCATGAAAACAATCGGGTATTTGAAGGCAGAAAATATTCTCCTCCCACCCAAACCTCCATTGATTCCCATTCAAGTTCAAGAACAACAACCCAGGAAGATTCTTGAAACCAGAGTGCAGGAGAAGGAGCCTGAGATGATTGATGTTTCAGAGCTGATGAGAGACCTTGAAGATGCAGAAATGGAGATTAATCTTGATGATAAAGAGAACATCGGGCCAAACGTGACCTCATTGAAGCCAAAGATTGAAGCTTTTGGTGATCAAAGGTCTGAGATTGATGTGTCGAGTTTCAGGCGGCCGGATTTGAATTCGTTTACTCTGTTCGACCCCAACCTTCTCGCAGCTTTTGAGCAGGCAGTAATGGTGGTAAAAGCGCAGGAAGCAGAGAGAATGGCCATGATTGAAGAAACAATCGAGCAGATAATCAAAGAAGAGGAAGAAGAAAGGCAAGAACCGCCTTCGAAGCTTCGAAAAATGGAGGAAAACACTAACCCACTCTTGAAATTCCCGGAAAAATGCCCGCCGGGAGGCTCAGAATCGGTAATTCTGTACACGACAGGGCTGAGAGGGGTCCGGAAGACGTTCGAGGACTGCCAGAGGGTTCGATTCCTGCTGGAAAACTTCCGGGTTTTGTTCTTCGAGAGGGACGTGTCGATGCACACGGAATACAGGGATGAACTGTGGAGGGTTCTGGGCGGAAGAGCGGTGCCGCCGCGGCTGTTCATAAGGGGGAGATACATCGGCGCGGCGGAGGAAGTGGTGGCGCTGCATGAACAGGGGAGGTTTAGGCCTCTTCTTGAAGGGATTCCTGTTGATGCTTCTCAAGGGCAGTGTGATGGGTGTGGTGGGGTGAGGTTTGTTATGTGTTTCAGGTGCAGTGGAAGCACAAAAATCGTTGACGATGATGGCGGCGCCGGCGGTGAGAGTATGAAATGTCCGGCTTGTAATGAGAATGGGTTGATTGTTTGCCCTATGTGTTCTTTGAGCTGATGGATTATTGAATTCATACTATTGGTGTAAGTGTAACTCTTGTATACATACATATTTTCACATTCCTTTGTTATTTTGATGGATGATCTTAAGAAAAATCTATTTTTCTCCTTCAATTATTATTGGTTATATAATTGTTTATTATTTTTAGTAGTACAATGTTTCTCTTTTTTTTTTGGATGCTACTAGCTCTATTACATTGTAGTATCTGTTCATATACTTTCTCAACCTACTGAAACACAAAGAGCTAATAACGCTTCCACTGAGGCTCAAACTCACAACCTTCTAAATGGAAATCCAACCCGGGTACCATTGGACCACATAGTCCTGGTAGTAGTAGTACAATGTAGTATCTGTTCATACATGCTTGAGTCACTACCTCCACTTAGGTTCGAACCTGTGACATCCTATTTGAAAAAACCACATGTATTGAATAGTTAATAGATGTTTTTTTTTTCATGGACTCCTTACAATTTTACATGGAATGATCTTGTCAATATCTATAGTTGACATATCATAAAATTTCTGGTATAATATGATATTTAAAAAAAGAAAAAAAAAAGTAGATAAGATTTATTAATTTAAAAGCCAATTTCTTGTGACTATTTCAAACATACAAAACCAACTGGGCTGAGAGTGATAAAATATGAAAATATGACTGTTTCAAATTTATGTTAGGTTAATAGAGTGTATATATATATTCATTCCTAGATTGTTAAACCAGACATATATAGGACATAGGCAACCAAACCTCGGCAATGAAAGCAATAGTGTCATTCTTGCTTGCCTTCATTTTGCTCCATCAATTATCAATCATACACATCAACACTAAGCATGCAGTGGTGTTGCCGCTGATTCCTTCCGTGGAAGGGAGGTCTTCGCCGCCGCCCCCGCCGCCCAAGTCCGCCAAGTTCAAACATTTTGTTAGCCCAGTAGCTCCGCCGACGCCGTCATCATTGTAATTTTTTTTTTTTTATTTTTTTTTTCAAATGTTACACTATATTTATGTTTCGAGAATAAGACTGGTCTAATTGAATCTTCCTTAGGTTTTAGTTGGGACAATTTTCTCAAGGGCATTGTTGCATATCATGTATCATCAATAGTGATTTTGTATTTCGATTATCATAAACTTTGCTACTATGTTAAAGCGATATCATAAAAAAAAAAAAAAAAAAAAAAAAAAAGAAGTTTAAACTGTTTGCAGTTTTGATGAATCTTATTTAAATTGGAGAAAATAAAATTGTGACTCGCTACCAATTCCCTAGCTTGATGGAGGTTAATAATTATTGTTTTATGAAATTTTTTACTGTAAATATTTGACATAAAAAATTGCGTAAATTACGAACCCAACATGATATATTAATATTGCACACTATCTATAATTATCAACACTAAGTAAGTTGCACTGAATGAGACTTTTTTTTTTTGGTCCAGTCACAAGTGTCTCCAGTCGACTGACAACCACACATCAAGACTAGTCATGTTCAAACTGGTTAAGATCTCAAAGATGACAAAACGAGTCTTAAGGTAACTAGGACTCGAACCCGAGACATTTGGTTAAGGAGAATTAATTATCAAATTTGAATTAATACTAGGTTTAAAGTTTTCAATTTTGGCCAGTTTTTCAAATAATTCATCACATTTTGACATTGAATTTCATGATTTTATCAAATTTAATTCTCTATCGTGTAATCCATCCATATGTTGTTAATTTTATGGATAAATATATAAATTTTAAATGTCATCTTTTATATTGACCGCGCAGAATTACCAACCCTTCCAACTACTTTCATGAACTGCGTCAAATTAAAGACTTTATAATCATAGGAATAATAACATATATATACAGGTGAAGCCGTCAAATGAAATGAAATTTTTTGTGTTATTTTACAATCAAGTAGAGAAATGTCTGTTTGATTGTCTACTAATCATCTTGACTTAATCACTTTGAATGCATTTTGTATAAGATTTATACATTTGTACTAAATATTTGATCAAATGTTGCGACTTTTGAAAAATACCACAATTTTTGTAAAGGTTTATTGACTATATGTGAACCATACTGTTAAGAGTCCCACATTGAAAATATAAGAGAGAACATACGTGTTTATAAGGCCATGTGTTAGACTAACTAATTGATTGAATTCAATCTTTTAGTGTAGTTTGGGCTTATGTACAATATAACCCAATTGAGTGACTTGACCCAATCTTAGATTATAAGACATACAAACCATAAAATTATCAGTTCAGATGGTACAGAAAAGAATTGATAAATATAAAATTGTTCAATAAAGACTACTAAAGGTTTTGATAAGTTGGTGGCATTACTAATTTTTGTTCAATTCATTTCATATAGTAAGAAGCAATAATGGAGGTTGGAATTAAAAAAACGGGGTGCAATTGGCAAATTGTAACTACAAAGATCATGACTGTTACAGTTCTCAGATGGATAGTAACAAATTCATAATCTAATCACACAGGATACATATAAATTACAGGATATATTCATTCATAAAAGACTAGAATCATTCAGCAACTTTCATACCTGTTAGGTAGACTTGGCACTGGATGAGGCTTCCCCCGATGTAGAAACCGGGCATTACCATCAAGCCGACCTTTGGTTTCTGCTCACTCTCTTCAATAATGAGGTCTTTCACGACGCTATCCATGTACACTTCTGAGAACTCGCTTCCTTTCTTGACCTGGAAAACCTTTACTGGAGGATCAAATGAATATGCCAGCCTATGCAAGAGCCAGATGGACTTGGCTAGCTTTAGAAAAGCCTGATAGAAAGCTGTTCTTGGGTGCCCACCCCCTATTATAAAGTTTCGCTGATCCAAGTTCCCGAAAAATGAGGCCTCCATCTTTGGATGAAGCACTGCAAGGTATTTGGTTCGGCAAAATTTCCCAAAGAGGGAATCTGGACTTTGGCCTACAGCATCCAGTGGATCCATTTCCCTTAATGCAAGATATTGGTGGAAGAAACTTTCCTTTGTGACTCCGGGATCCTCGGGTTTCACAGAAAAGCATTCTTCCTGAAACCCACCGAACATTCTATGGCAAATATTTGATTCAAATGCATATTTCTTGTGAGCTCGCTTTGCATAGACTACATCTGGCTCAATGGAGTTTGCTGCGGCATCAAGATCCCATCCAGCTGCTTTCATCATGTTGATTACTGGCTTGGAAAAATCATGAATAGCTCGATAGGCAGCTTCCACGGCAGACCTGAAAAGATCAGGCGTTAGATCCACTGAGAAGAATCTATTTTCAGAGCTTGTGCCTTCAGATTCTTTGGCTGATAAGCCTCTCAGCTTTAGGTTTTTCTCCAGTTTAACCCGCTTCTGACTTGCCTCTTGGATCTGCTGCTGCAACTGAAGAATCTCAGAATCTTTGTTTTGTATCTCAGATTGAAATTTCTTTACCATGACCTCGTACGTTTTCAACAAACTCTGCTGTTCTTGAATCTCCGCAGCTAACCGGGAGTCCTGAGGAGAAACACATACTGGCTTGGGGTTGTGCTCCCTGTAGAAGTGCTTGAGTTCTGAGAGCATCTTCAGCTCTGAGATCACAAGCTTATCAGCGGTTTGAATCTTATCCGGGTCATAAGGAGTGTGAGCAGATTGAAGTTCGATGTAAGCCGACTTGAGCGAGGAGATATTCGTGAAAATCTTAGAAATCAGAGCATCTACTGCCTCTGGTTTTTGATTCGTTGCTTCTTCCATCGGCTGGGGGTGGACCTTCTGGCTGTTGCTCTCACGGAGTTGAGGGTCTTTTGCCCCAGTTGGTTGCATAGCTACTCGCAATAAGATGGGGATTAATCAAGTGTGTCCTATCGGTTAGGGAACTTCAACCTGTAACACCAGACAACATCATGATGGAATCTACAACAAGAAAAGAGTAAGAGAAACAAATTACGGACTGGCCTCAGACAATCGTAAGAACCATAAAAGGTCAGCAGTAGCCAATTGCCAAGAACCTCACCCTTGCTTTCACTCTTCTTAATAATTAGTAACAATTTTCAACTGTTTAGCAGAACACACTCAAATAATCAGGAGGTAACAGGATATAAACAATGAAATACAAGTGGCAATTTTTTGATACCAAACTACGCGAGTAGTTCATAGACCAGCATCATCAATAACAAGATTCTTAAAATAACTATCGCATATTCCATCATTTCTCATGTTTTCTTCCACTAAAAAAAGTAATAATAGTGAAGAACGGTTTTACAATAGGGATTGAAAACATAGCATTCCACTTCTCAAATTACACAAAAGCATCTGGCACTAAATGGAATTCTATAATACCTCATCTCCGCAGCCACTACACATAACAAGAAAGTTAAAGATTACGGTCCGATCTCAACTATTCAATAGCTACTAAACTCTCAGAGATCCCCTCTCAGACCATTTTCAACTCTCCTAAGACAAAAATCTTCAAGAATCCAGTCCAATCAAATGAGGGTTTTCACTCGAGTACCCAAATCTTCACAATCAATAAAGCAAAAAATCATAAAAGCACCTCGGGAAACAAGAAAACATTGGTCACAAAGAACAGCTATTCTCCCAAATAGAAGTTTCAGTTAACATCAACTACACACTGTTCAAATCCTACCAACTTCCAACACAATAATGCCTAGACTTGCAGTCCTGGCTGACAATAATTACAATTTCAGAATTACTTATTACGGAGTATATAAAGTAATAAACAATTATCAGTACAACATAGTAATTGCTCCAACAACCATTACATGTCTCCCCAATAGACATCCTTCCCTTACAAAACTTAAATCCGAATACTTCATTTCACGCTAAAGTTTCCAAAAATGTAAAGTTTACTTCAGTATACATACTTCATTCAGATCTATTGCTACAGAGGCTAAATTAGGGTTCGGTACAAGCATAAAATGGTTGTCCTTAAACAAACCTGGCTTACACCCACAAATTAACCCATATATCTCCATATTTATCAAAATTAAATTTGATTTCCATTTTTTTTTTTAACAAATTCAAGCTGATTTAAAGTGCAAATGATCATAATCACCAAACGCAGAAAGTTGCTCAGAAAGAAACCTAAACATATTAGCGGTAAGATGATAAGGAGAATAATTTGTGAACTCACCATCACTGTAGAATAAAGATAGAGAACATGAAGATAAAGTTAGCAATCAACACCGGCGTGGAATCTTCTGATGAAATTTTTTCCGGGGAGAAGTAGAGATGAAGACCGTAGAGTGCCGGCGGCGAGAAAGTGAAGAGTGAGGAAAAGAATATGGGTTTTTGTGTCTATAATTTGCATTACAATACATGTTTTGTTCCATTTTACATTTCAACAACACATCTTTCTAATATTTTCATTTGGACCTGTATTAGTTATGATATTAATAAAGAGCCAAACTATTTGTTTAAATTATTAACTACCATTAAAATTTGTAAAATAATTAAGTAACATAACTTTTGACATCTTTTATAGATAACACGTTTTAAAGTATTTCTTGGTACTTTTCTATATTGTGGTTGTAAAAATTTTTTAACAAATCTTTTAAAACGAGTACTTTCGGATTGACTAAAAGGTATATCATCACCAATTATAAATCTACCAAATGCATCTATCACTGATTCTCGTGAATAAGTAAAAATATCTCCGTTGGGGGTAACATACTCAAAAATTTATGTTTGCCCTTTCTCGAGTTGTCTTTCATCATTCCTCATATTGTGGTAAGAATTAAAAATATAGAATTATAAGAAATTAAAAATTTAAAGTATTGAAATTTCAGAGGTTGAAAGAAATAAAATAAATGAAAAATAATTAAGAGTAATAAAATTTATAAAGAGTAAGAGGATGTATGGAGAATTGTTGTGAGTAGAAGTAAGAGGGTGTAGGATTGAGAATTTTTGTGTGATAAATAAATTGGGTAAAGAGTATCTATAGACTAAGGAAAAAAAGTCTTCCCCCAGACAACCAGTGCAACAGCCAAAAATTTTGTCGTTGCACTGGCCGAGAACATGAAGTAGCCTCTGCCGGAGGCCACGCCTAGCTTAGCCTCCAGCAGAGGCTACTTGCAACGTGCAACGGTCAAATTTAATTTGGCCATTCCACGTTGCAGGCCTAAGTAATAAGATTGTGGCAGCTCGCCAAAATTACTATTTTATTTTTTTTTTAAAGAATTTTAGTTGCTGCTATGGTTGTGTTTGCCAAGGTCTGGGCCGTGCTCAGACCTGGACCTAGGTCGGTCTCGTGTTAGGTCCTAAATATTTTAAAAAGATCTAAACAAGTCCTTAATAAATCGGTTCTGGTCCAAACTAAACTCAACCCAAGCTCACTTTTGTTCGAATCAATTTAAGGTTGGTTCGATCTTGAACCAGCTCATGACCACCTCTAGAATTTGATATTATAAAAGTTCATCGAGAGTCAATCAACAACATGGTTATGTCCATGGAAGACATGGATACATTTGACACTCAAGCAAAAATTATCATTAAATCATAGAGCTTTAATTTATTTAACTTTTTACACCAATAAGCATTTAATAAAATAATAACTCTATTATTATCTAACAAAAGAACGATGAAAATCAAATTATAACTTATAAGCCATCAGTTAAGCCCAGCAAGAGGCAACCAATTTTGCCAAAAGTGAAGTTAACAACAAAACACAACCTCCACCTTTCATTTAAACCTGGATTCCGCATAGTAGTAAGGATCAGAGAGTGGTTGTCCCAAAAGGGATAAGAAATCTTAAACCCTATCATACAAGGCAAAAATGGGGAAAGAAACAACAAATACTTTGATTCAAGAAGAGGCCTTGGGAGCAGCAGACCGCTGCTTCTTCGAACCATCTTGCTTCTTGTCAGAATCTGCAGCCTTTCTCCGGTCCTTCCTCTCCCTCTTCTTCAACGCAGTCATTTGAGCCTTCAACAAAATTGCGTAAGAAGCTTGAAAACGCTGGTGATCTTTCGGCCCCACCTATTTTCCAATCAACCCAAGCGCATGGACAGTGACAAGAAAAATGGCATCAACATAACCTCCATACACAGTTAAATGTGACAACAATGATGAGAGAATATAGTTCAAATCTGCATTGCAGGCTTGCAGCATCCACTTTAAAGGCAAGGCAAGGCCTATATGTGATAGAATAAGGTATTTCAGGAGTCTCACTAAATTTTCATGTCAGAATCAAGCTATCTCAAATTCAAGCAGTAGAAAACCATAATAGTTAGAAGAATGCAGTTAAAGGCACAACACTTTCCATGCGACCTTTTAACTAAGGGCCTCAGAACTTTTAAAACAAAGCAAGAATGAAGCAAAAACAAACTTATAATTATGTGAAACTTGTTTACTAATTCTTATCCAAAGGGTCGGAGAGCTAAAGCATATTATTTTCCCCTTGACACATTAAAGGTTGGTTCTTGAGAATTAGCACAAGATGCAGAAAAGAGCTAGTTGAAATTTGTCATCCAATGAAAATCAAGCGAGAAGAAGTTCAAAAACAAAAATGGAGCTGAACAATTTTTACCATTGTAGAAATGTTCTTTTTCCCATCAGTTGCTCGAATAAGGCACTTATATTCAATTTTTTCACCAGCACTCTTCAGTTTATTCCGCTTGGCTTTAGATTTATCAGAAGCTGCATATACATAATGCACAGAGAATTTATTATCTTAATAAAATAAGGCAAAAAAAAAGAAAGTTCAAATGAACAGAGGCATTAAATTACAGTGTTTGAGAGTGACCCAAACAGAGCCCTTTTCTGTAGTTCGCTCAAACATGTTTGTAAGTTCATTGAGGAATGGGTCTGGCTGTAAACGTACCTAGTAAATTCAGTACAAAAGTAACCCAAGCCAAATAATGTGTATCTAGAAAAAAAAAGATAACCATTCCCTGCTCGCAATTTAATGCTAACTCTTGGTAATATTCAATATACACATTTAGGCAGCACATTATAAAACTATGAAATGATCATAATCACCATTCCCTGATCGCAATTAAATTTGATTTCAATTTTTTTTTTTTTTACAAATTTAAGCTGATTTAAAGTGCAAATGATCATAATCACCAAACGCAGAAAATTGCTCAGAAAGAAACCTAACATATTAGCGGTAAGATGATAAGGAGAATAATTTGTAAACTCACCATCACTGTAGAATAAAGATAGAGAACATGAAGATAAAGTTAGCAATCAACACCGGCGTAGAATCTTCTGATGAAATTTTTTCCGGGAAGAAGACCGTAGAGTGCCGGCGGCGAGAAAGTGAAGAGTGAGGAAAAGAATACGGGTTTTAGTGTCTATAATTTGCATTACAATACATGTTTTGTTCCATTTTACATTTCAACAACACATATTTCTAATATTTTCATTTAGACCTGTATTAGTTATGATATTAATAAGGAGCCAAACTATTTGCTTAAATTATGAGTAAATACCAGCGGAGGTCCTCTGACTTTGGTGGCACTGTCACATTCAGTCCTCAACTTTTAAATCAACCACGCTTAGTCCTCTTACTTTTTGTTTCTAGCCATCTATGGTCCTTCCGTTAAACTTGACCATCTAATGCCGTTTTCTCAAGGATAATTCAGTCCTTTCCTAATTAATTTATTAATTATTATGTTTGACGAGTCATACCGAGATATCCCGACGTCGTTTTGGCACAACTTTCGTACCAGCTTTTGTACGCCATTTTAATTCACAAGATGGTTTTGTACACGTTCATAGCTGGGAAACCATTGTTTGACTACTCTGATGAGGAAATTAAACATAATAATTAATAAATTAATTATGAAAGGACTCTTTTAGAAAATGACATTAGATGATCAAGTTTAACGAAAGGACCATAGATGGCTAGAAACAAAAAGTAAGAAGACTAAAAGTGGTTGATTTAAAAGTTGGGACTAAAATTGGCAGTGCCACCAAAGTCAGAGGACCTCCGTTGGTATTTACACTTAAATTATTGATGCATTCCTTGTGTAAAGAGTTGTTTCATTCTTTTTATAATTATTATTTATGAATAGTTTTTTTTTTTTTTCACAAGGAAAAAGACTAAGGAGATTAGGGGTGATTACTAAAATGAAAAAATAGAGAATTGGAGAAATATAAGAATGAAAAATGAAAAATTCGTATGGTATCTCTCTTCCTTTGTAATAAAAGAAAAATGAAAAATTCATTTATCCGATCCCTATTGTTTCTTATTTTTCTCATATCTTTGGAAAAAGTAAGGAAGGAACCTAGATGCTCCTATATTAGGAATAAGGTTTAAATATGACATTTAACTGCACACCAAATTATAATTATGCTATCAAATTCAAAAAAAAAAAAAATACAATTGAGTCCTTGAATAACACAAACTCATACAATTAGTCAAAAATAACATCTTTACCTGAAAGTATGTTGACGTGACACTTATCAATTTTAATAATAATTATAAATAAAATAATTAATTATTTAAAAAAAAAAAAAAAAAAAAAAAAAAAAGAAGAAGAACTGCCAGTTGGCTTCGTCACCATGCCCGGAGAGAAAGACCTTCAAACGGAACATAATTTAATACTCCGTATTTGATTATGTTGTCCTTACTGTTTTCATTATTATTTTTTATTAATTAGATGTTTTGGTCATATTTCCTTTTGATTTTTTTTTTATGTTCATCTGCTGAATTGCTCATAGTGTATGGCTTATCTTTTGGTATCCAACATTCCAACTCATGAAAGTAAGTTAGATACTTTTTCTTTTTATAGTTTAGCATTATAGGCTTATTCTTTTAGTTCTGAATTTCTTAAATTGTGTAAATTTATCGTCACATAATATTTACATACTGTATTTAGTGTGTAATTGTGAATGTTAAAACATGTTGAGCGAGTAAATATTGCAAATATATTAGATATGTGAACATACTTATAATGTTGTGCGCAATTTTTTTTTCTTTAAATTAGCATGCATTAATATTTTATTGTTGGTGAGTTAATTGTAAATATACTTGTCTATTTTTTCTATTAGTATGATATTGTTATGATTATTGCTATTATTTACTTTGCAATTTGAATAGATCTTTCTTTGATTTCAAGTTTTGAACGGAAAAAATATCTTGAAATGTACCATGAGATCAAAAGGCTACAAAGTTTGATTGAAAAGTTGGGGAATTCGAAGAATTCTCAATATTATTGCATGGGTTAAAGTACCTACGAGGTCCCTGTACTATAGTGTTTTGTTCAATTTAGTCCTCATACTTTTATTTTGTTCAATTTAGTCCCTGTACTTTCAAAAGTGGTGCAATTAAAGACAATAGTTAACGATGTTAATATTATCGTTAACTTAGGTTACGTGGCGCTGATGATATTTATATTCCTACTCATATATTACTTTATAAATATTTAAAATTTATTATTTTTACCACCAATATATCTAATTAGTATGTCCAAAATAAATAATTACGATCATGTTCGTAATGAGATTTGGACAGTTGTCCTTAATTTTATCACTTTTTAAAGTAGAGGGACTATATTGAACAGAATAAAGGTACAAGGACTAAATTGAACAAAACACTATACTACAGGGACTTTATAGGTACTTTAACCTATTGCATGACTCTTGCTCTCTATTGCAATGTGTGCGGAGGACCTCATGATACCAGGGAGTATACGTCTCCAAATGCTTTTGAACAAGTTGATGCCATTGGTTATTCACAAGGACTGTGAACAAAAATACAAATTTTGGAGGAGCCGTAACCAAGAATAGAAACAAAGAAATGATTGGACTCAAAGGAGGCTACACCAACCAAGGTAGACTTCTGGTGTCAAAACCACCTATGGACCTATTAGGGAAGGAGGCACAATTGCCAACGGCCCACCCAAAGAGAAAACCACATTACTCCCTATAGGTCACCTCATGTGTCACAAGGAATTAAAGACCATTGTTATTATTGACTTCTTAACTCGTAGCTATGTGAAGTTGTGAACTTGTTTTGAATTTTTTAATTTCTGAAGGGTGGGCCTACTTTTGAATTTTGTTTAAAGGTTTTATTATCTATGTATGGTTATAACAATGTTTATTATTAATTGAAGCATAAAGTTAAATAGGTTAAACTTGAGCTCAAATTCAAGCTTAAAAGTTCGAGCAACTTTACTCGAACCCGAGCTCATTCGGCTTGACTCGTTTACATTATGTTAATTAAACGTAAACTTGGATACTTACAAATGTGCCTTTTAGAGGGGTATTGGCTCGACTCGTTTACATTATGTTAATTAAACGTAAACTTGGATACTTACAAATGTGCCTTTAGAGGTATTTATACTTATTCATCTTCTTCAAAAGACGGTAAAGATTGACTTGATCATATAACAATGATTTCGTCTCTAAAATTTTCCGGATAACTCCATACAATTCTTTGAGTCCTCTAATATTTTAGAAGATTTTAGAAATTCTTACATCTTTAGAGTAGTTATGTATATAAGTCTATAATATTCTAGAAACTTGAAAAAAAATTATGTACAAATACAAAAAATATCAGACGATGTAACTAACCTCCAAATTGTATAGCAAATTAGCTCGGCGTCTCACATTTAGCTTTAGCTTTTGCCCTTCTTGTTTACCATAAAGAATTAATTAAAGTAATGCTAAGTTTGACATTTTGAATTTTGTAAACAATGTTAGAGAATCCGTAATAGTTATGTTTTTCTTTTGATTTTTTTAGTAGTTTTTGTAAGTATGATTAGAAAAAAGAAAAAAAAAATAAAATTGATTTAAAAAAAAAAATAAAATTGTTCGTCCTTGTAACACGCGCTCGGCTGGGCATGCTTTGTTTCTCGCACGTAGGCAAGGTTTTACTTCAGTAGTCAATATATGGGCCCCACAAAATAACTTAATTTGCAGGAGAAATTTTTGCCAAAAAACTTCACTTCACATAAGTAAAAACCATTACATAGTTTTTTCTACTATTCGAAAATGTAAGTATAATCCACAGCTGTGAATGCTCTCATGTGCACTCTAAGCGCACCTTCGGGTCTTCCTATAAGAGCTGTCTATTGACCGTTACCCTAACTCCCGACAAATTATTGTGTGGACCATGATCTATATAGCTGTATGACCCATGAATGCAATATACATTTTTAATATACTGAATGTACATTATTTGCGTACTGAATGTACATTATTTTATAATGTATAAAAAATCATGTACTTTCAAATAATGTACTTTATGTATACAACTAATGTACATTTAGTACATTAAAAATGTACTTTTTATATATGGTTCACACAAATGTGTGGACCATGGTCCATGGAATAATGATTGCTAACTCCCTGAGCGCACCTTCTGGTCTTTTTATTGGCTTGGTTGCTTGCTAAGGTTACAAGACAAGATTTACCTTGAGTACACATTTAGATAGTGATTGCGGACTTATTTGTAAATCAAAGATTAAAATAAACAGTTTTATTTTTGTTAATTAAAATTGTGATAGGATGGGATTAGTTTAATTTGTACTTAAGAAACCATAGGATGTGATTATTATTCCTGATAATAGAAATGGTTACCAAACAAAGGAATAGGCCTATTACTGGGAATGCTATGCCATTCTCGGCCTATTCCGTGAACCAAACGGACCATAATTCCTCAAGGAGTTCAGAGTGTAGTTTAATGACAACTATATCTTAAAATTAGGTTTTTTTTTTTTTTTTTTTTTTTTTTTTTTTTTTATAGCTAAGATTGCTCAATTGATCAAATCTCTTAAACTAAAATTTAGTGGCTGCAAAGATTCAATCGTTATGCTGTGGAACCGTGTCCACCTTTTAAGGTGGACACAGTTCTATATTCATAATTACTGAATTATATGTTTATAATTATAAAATAGAGGAAATTTCAATTTTGGTCATATGACTATAGGGGTCTTATTAATTTTAGTCCCTGGCTTTCAAAAATGTTAATTTAGTACCTTAACTATACAATTTTTGTCAATTTTGGTCACTCCGGCCAAATTGCCAGTCAAATTTTGCCGGAAAATTTTAATAATTAAAATAATGAGGATATTTTGGTCATTTCACGCATCTTTTCTTCTTCTCCGGCGAGTCCATCCCTTCCTCCCCTGTTTCCGGCGTTCTTTCTCCCTGTAAACCCTATCTTTAATATCATCAAGCATCCTTTCTCCATCATCTTAGTTCATTGCATTCGCCGGAAACGGGGGAGGAAGGGATGGACTCGCCTGAGAAGAAGAAAAGAGACGTGAAATGATAAAAATACCCTTATTATTTTAATAATTAAAATTTTCTGACGAAATTTGACCGGTAATTTGACTGGAGTGACCAAAATTGACAAAATTTGCATAGTTAAGGTACCAAATTGACACTTTTAAAAATTAAGAACTGAAATTAACAAGACTCCTATAGTCATAGGACCAAAATTGAAATTTCCTCTTATAAAATATATTCATAATTTTTAAACTTCATATTCATAATTATTGAATTCTATATTCACAATTACAGAATTCTATGTTCATAATTACTGAACTATATGTTCATAATTATAAAGCTATATATTCAAAATTTTCGAACTTCATATTCACAATTATTGAATCTCTATATTTATAATTACAGAACTATATTCTTTCAAAAAAAAATACAGAACTATATGTTCATAATTTTTTAACTATATATTCATAATTATGAACAATTTTGGAACCATGTCCACCTTGCTCGGTGGGCACGGTTCCACAGCATAATTTGCCGCAAAGATTAATATAGTGAAAACTGAAATACTTGTTGACATGATAATTAGACAAAGTATTAGATCTGACCCGAAGCACATTAGGGCTGATTCGCAGTATTCAAAGCAATCAACACGGTCAATTGGTAATTGACTAATTATCAAGAGTGAAGTAGGAAGTGACAGAATGGTTCATAGAGTCCAATACCACCTCATCAAAAAGCAGTTATTAGGAGCACGCAACTATACAATTATGGAGGCCAACACAATTATGGAGGGGAACACACAGTAATTACTAAGGAGCCAGCCATTGTACTTATTAATAGGAGGCCATTGTGCAATTATTATAATCGTTACAAGTTTGTAATATAAAGGATGAGCCCATGTCACATGGGAGGGGGACACATTATGAAACTTTATAGAACTCTTAGCAATACAAAATTACTTTACAATATTATTTTGGTAACATATTTAGTGTCACTTGTGTTATTGAGCTAGTTCTGCAAGATGTTTCTAATATGATTTCCTATATTATGTATGATTTGTTAACTATCATATAAAAATAGAGCTTACACAATACATATGGACTGCGTGTTTTCATTTGTCACTTAAAAAAAAAAAAAAAAAAAAGGAGTTAATACCCAAAATGGTCCCTCGACTATGCCATAATTACCAATTTGGTCCTCAACTACTATTCTTACCTAATTAAGTCCTCAACTATGTAACTTTTACTCAATTAAGTCCTCAACTATACAATTCTTACCCAATTTAGTCCTCAACTATAAAATTCTTACCCAATTTAGTCTTCTGTATTAATTCGATTGTTTGTTGACTGTCAAAAGTCGGGATAAAATTATAATTTTACAAGATTTCTCCTTCCTCTCCATTTAGCAGCGCCAAACCATGCAGCAATACACTCCGATCAGATTTCGATCATCAAAAAATCGTTGGAAATCAAATTCATGGGCTATCCGATGCATAACCACTACTTCGATATTGACAGGTTTAGAACCCAACCGGAGCTTATTGCTACATGGTTTGGCGCTGCTAAATGAGGAGGAAGGAGAAAACTTGTAAAATTACAACTTTATTTCCATTTTTGACAGTCAACAAACAGTCAAATTGACAAAGGACTAAATTGGGTAAAAATTATATAGTTGAGGACTTAATTGAGTAAGAATGATAGTCGATGACCAAATTGGTAATTACGACATAGTCGAGGGACTATTTTGGGTATTAACTCAAAAAAAAAAAAAAAAATGACATTCTTGTGCCATGAAAGAGATAGCCGAGTGGATTAAAAATAGTTGTACCTACCTAAAAGTCACGATTGAACATAGTTGCCGGCCACTAATTAATTATCAAGTTTAGCCTCAGATAAGCTAAGTAGTTGTTCTAAATACTCAGCCCCCAAATCCTCAAGAACCAACACTTCTCCATGCACCCTCTCAAACTCATCTTCTTCTCCACCATCTTTCTTCTTCTTCTTCAAAGCATTATTATTATTATTATTATTATTATTATTATTATTATTGCTCTTCTTGTTCATAACACTGCTTCTCCTAGTGTTCTTGCAGTGCCTTCTCTTCAATGCCAGCACCGGCGAGCCGCCGTCCTCGAAGCCGCAGCCCAGCTCCACCAGCGACTGGTACACCACCTCCGCCGGGAAGTTGAGCACCGCCGTCGACCCGTGCAATGCGAACGCCGCCTGGTCATAAACCAGCGCCGCCTCCTCCGCCGTGTCGAACGTCCCCAGCCACACCCTCACGCTCCGCCGCGTCGAGTCCCGTATCTCCGCCGCGTATTTCCCCCACGGCCGCTTTCTCACTCCTCTGTAAGCTACGCCGCCGGCGCTCGTCCTTGTAGAAGACCACTCTTCTTCTTCCTCCTCTTCTTCTTCCATGGACGTCGCGGGGCCGCCGCCGCCGAGGAACGCCCCCGACATTGAGGAAGACGACGACGAGGAGTTGGCGGCGGCGGCGGCGGCGCCTGCCTCGGCTAGGACGGTGTAGAGAAGCATGTCTCCGGCGTCGTTTTCATTGAAGGGAAGATGATATGGCGGCTGCAGGTTTTGGAAATTTGACTGGGAGAATGAAAAATCCATGAATTCAGTACAGTGAAGATTTATATATATATAAATTTGTTTTCTTTATTCAAAGATCTTTAGTTGATGAGATTCTTGGATGGAATGTTGCAGAAGTGAAGTGAAGATTGGGGTTTATATATAGAGAGAGCTGGTGGGTGGGGTGGGTATGCACACGAGGGGGTTTAGTTAATTAATTATTATAAAATAATAATTAGGCCCACAAAATTTATATTAGATTTAATTATGATTTTGTCCCACCCTAAGTCTACAAGTATTCAAATTTGATTTTTATAAATTACTCAATTTTTATAAATACTGTTTACTGAATCAATAAGTTAAGCACGTATGCTACTGCCCTCTCTCACAATCCGGGAATGCAGTCTCTGGACGACATGCCTCGGTGGGTTGTCGACGTTATGTGGGAAGACAAGTTTGGTGCCAGAATGCGTCGGGGCTTCTAGTGTGGGCAATTGGCTCTTTTGAGTTGCCTTTGTTTGTGCAACCGGGTTCATCCCTCTTTTTGAACAAAAAATAATAATAATAAGTTAAACATGTACGAATAACTTGTAATTTTACTATATCTACTAGTAATTTAACAATGTGTAATTTTACATGGTCAATGTGTAATGTCCAACAACTAGCCAATTGTGTCTTTGTCAATGATCTTATGGTCTAGTAGCACGAAGTGACTATTTCGTATGGGAAGTCATGGGTTTGATCCTCAATGAGGGCAATATTTTGTACTTCAGTAGTGTGGACTATCATTTTATACACCTATTAACTTCTCGATGAACTTTTCCACCATCTTTATTATTGGTTGGAGCATTGAAAAGTTTGCGAGTTACACTAACTCTCAGGACTGCACAAAAAAAAAAAAAAAAAAAACAATAAAAGGGGACAATCACGGCTAAGTTAGTCATGTTGTTGGTCTGGTGATCACAAGGTTTCAAGTTCGACTCTTAGTGGATTGTCTAATTTTGGCCTTTCTTGGTTTGAGCTAGTCAACTATGGGGCAACCTATGTTGATTTACCTCCTTGCGGTCCTTTGTCGGTTCACCTACAATGCAAGTTTAATCTCGTGCATACTCTTGAGTTGTGATTGTGTGACTTAACAACACCGGTTTCAACAACACTTAATAGACAACGATTCAAAAACCGTTGTTGTTTTTAGAAAAGGTGACAGTTAAAAAACCATTGTTTATGCGCGGGACTTACAACAACACTGACTTCAACAATAGAAATTTTAATCCTACAACAACGGTGAAAAATCATTATCTATGTGCATTTTTCTTTGTAGTGTTGAGAGTTTCTCTAATCACCCAAAAAAAAAAAAAAAAAGACAATATATAACAATAGGAAAATGGTGCACGTGTGGTCAAAACCCCCTTTTCTAGAGACAAGGCAGCCAAGTCATAGGACAATTCAATCCAATTCCTTGTCTAGCTTAGGCTAGGTTTCAGATCAGTCTAAAGTAATCCACAGGATTGTTACATATATTTATTCTGCTGCTACTATTTTCTTAGTTTGGCCTATTGGTTTAATGCTTTGATCCATACTTAGAATATTATTTGTTGGGTGTTAATGATGTGTTCAAAGTCAATAAACTTTTATTATAATGAAAGGTTGGCCCATAAGGTTAATGAACCGGGTTATTATTTAGTTGAACATCCATGAACATCATCATCCAAACTTTAAGATCCTAGCTTGCTTTCACACTACACTATTAATTAATTGGAGATTAATCCATTGTGGTTGCAGGTGAATAGGTGATGATGTATTGGCTTATGATATATTCTTTGATGGGTTTGCTATGTGTTTACACTGCTTTTATCAAAACATTTGACACTATATATATATATATATATATATATATATATATATATATATATATATATATATATATATATATATGCTTTGAAATAGTAACTATAGTGGTGCATTTTTTTTTGTGTGTGGTGCATTTTCGAATACTGTGTTGTGCGTTTTTGCATATCTAATGGTGAATTCGCATCGATCGCATGGGAAGCATTGTCCGCATTTGAACTAGTATATATATATATATATATATATATATATATATATATATATATATGTGTGTGTGTGTGTGTGTGTGTGTGTGTGTGTGTGTGTGTGTGTGTGAGAGAGTTTTAGTAAAAAAAAAAATACAAGGTCAATTTTAAAAATATTATAAATTTTTAAGTTTATAATATTTATAAAATTGACCCGTATATCCACACAACCACATAGGAGAGGTAAGCTACACTAAAAGATTATTTGACGAATTTGATCAAGAGTGTGTTGACAAAAATCGAACTGACGATCTTTAGGATGACTGTTATATACCTATATAGTTGTCAACATTAAAATGAAATATTGTTAATAGCTGAATTATATTCCTTTTAGATGAAAGTGGAAAATATAATAATATAAGCATTGTTCTTGTTTTGTATGATTGTTTCAAAGTCTTCTAAGTTGAATGTATTCAAAGGGAAATGGACCAGTGGTCAAAAAGTTTCACATATGAATTTTTTAAGAAAAATAAATTTAATTAATTTTAGGAGATGCAAGTGGGTGAATTCTTTATATAATTATATGTGAACATTTGATTCCTTTCAATCTTTCATGAATGGGTGCATGCATATAGTTTAGAGCTTGGCTACAAAATTTCCAGGATTAGCAATCATACTTCCATTCTTGCTTTCATTGCATGGATATTTGTGTACCTGTTACAGTGTTACCTTTATTGAATTACAGTCCTTATCTGTATGTATTTTTTTTAATAAGCAATTTGTATATAGGAAAAGTGTGAAATACACTTTTAAACATTACATAAGAAGTCGATTAGATCCTCAAACTTTTGAAAATTATAATTAGGTATTACATAAACATGTTGATATAGCGCATAAAATCCAAATATCTGTTAGTGACCTGTTATTACATGTCACTAGGTTGTCCGGTGGTGAAAATCGAAAACGACGACCAACACGTCGTCAGAGAATGGTTGGTCGCCTTCTCCGGCAACTAGAGATGTTGACCAAATTAGTCGCCTTCTCCATCGTTGGAGAAGGCGACCAAACTGGTCTCCATCTCCAATGGACGGAGAAGGCGACCAGGTTTGGTCACCATCTCCAAGGGACGAAAGGCGACCAGTTTTGGTCGTCATCTCTAAGGGGGTCGGAAAAGGCGTCCAACCCTTCTCCGGCGACGTGCTGGTCGCCATCGTCGGTTTTCGCCATGGAACATGGCCAGCAACCTAGTGGTCTTTTTTTTTTTTTTTTTTTTTTTTTTTTTTTTTTTTTAATCTTAGTGGCATGTTATTACATGTTACTAATAGGTATTTGGGTCTTGATGCATTGAATCGACATATTTATGTACCTAATTGTAACTTCCAAAAGTTCGGAGACCTAATTGACTTCTCAGATAAAATTCAGGGGTATATTTGACCCTTTTGCTTTTTATATGTTATTTTAATTTTAATTTTAAACTTAGTAAATTGTTATGTTTTTAGTTGAGATAGTCTCTCTTCATTTAATCTGATCAATCAAGATTGTCCATCAATTTGTGTGGATATGTTCATACCTATTGCCTTTGTTGAACCATTGGGATAGTACCTTCTTAGATAAATTTTTTATAACTATTCAACCATTTCCACATTTGATCGTTAACAATTAATTTTTCTATATTTGGTGCAAGATTTTTAAACTTTTACCACATTTAGTCACTTTAATCTAATTTTCAATTATCAGTGATCAAATAAAATCATGAGCTATGAAATTTACTTATCTTAGAAGTGCAATGTTAAGGACAAAGTTATCTAATAGAAATAGCATTTGCCCTTTCTTGGAAGGGAATAATAGACCCCCAAAAAAACAAAATGAGAAAATTGGCTGAAATGAAAAAATTGAAAATGGTCTTGTAGGGTTAGGGTTGAAAACCAAGTTAATAAATCCAAAACATTATATCATAAACCATAATCTATTTTAGTACCTTATAAGATAGCATAACGGCATTAAGTAGCTAAGAAAGTTGGGGTACAAGGATATATTAGAGATTTCAAAACATTTCTTGAAAAAGTTTAGACAAATCAAATATGTTAATTAATTTTCTAGGTAATTTAATTGTTATGTTTCTCAAATAACATGGGAAAGTACCAAACGCCCTCTAATATGTTAATTAATTTGTGTACAAAAGGTTTATGTTAAAATATACTACTTAAAAATAGCATTCAATATATTAAAAATAAACCTTTAGTATACTAAAAATGAACATTTATTCATAATCCACACATTGCAAAATAGACCATGGTCCACGATATAATTTGCCACTAAATCTACAAATAATTTGAGGGCCCCAAATCTTGGTATGTATGGTCAGTACCACCTTCCCCTAATCCATTGTCTTCCTTGAGAGCAATAATATACAATGTAAAATTATGAATGCATTTATTCAAATGTCTGCCAATTAAACATGAGCTAAACATCATATCTATAATCTATGGCAAGCCTGGATAAGAAGGAAGGTTGTAATACTAATCGATATCCCCATAAGGTTGATTATTACAAGCTAGTTCTCTGTTACCTGTCCACAATCTTCAATCACAACCTGTGATGCAGGCTTCCCAGACTCCGAACCCACACATTCCATCGCTTTGACAACACTATATCCATCAACCACCTTCCCAAACACGACGTGCTTCCCATCAAGCCATGTAGTATTAACCGTGGTGATAAAGAACTGAGATCCATTAGTGTTTCGCCCGGCGTTTGCCATGGAAAGAAGGCCGGGCTCGGTGTGCTTCAGTTTGAAATTCTCGTCTTCAAACTTCAGTCCATATATGGATTCTCCGCCTGTTCCATTACCCCTCGTGAAATCTCCACCTTGGCACATGAAGCCAGGAATAATGCGGTGAAATGCAGAGCCCTTGTAATGTAAGGGCTTCCCTGAATTCCCAATTCCTTTCTCCCCCGTGCAGAGGGCTCGAAAGTTCTCAGCGGTTTTGGGTGTAACATCTGAAAACAATTCCATGACAACCCGACCAGCCTTGTTCTTTCCAATTAATATGTCGAAGAAAACCTTTGGGTTTTTTGCCATTTTTAAACCTAACAATAAATTAGTAAAACAAAGCCAACTTTAGCAAATAAGACAAGGAAATTATTTTCATTTTGAAAGTAAGGGGGGTATAAGTACAAAAATGGGGGTTTTCTAATAAGGTTCCCAAAACATACAAATTCAACCCAAATTCCCATAGTACAAGAAAAGAATCAAAGAATATAATTCAACAAAGGTCAAACTGCAACCTGCACAAATCAGTTCTTAATTTTTGGCTAGAAAAACACGCACTGTAAATTCCCATAGTACAAGAAATAAAGAGTAGTGTTTCCTGGATTTCTATTAACTAAACTGCAAATCTACAAGGTAGGTGTTCACGGGATTTTCTCCAAAAATACAGTCTTTCTAAAAAGTTAAGATCTTACATTCATTTCATAATAAAATCAAGACTAATTCAATAAAATTAACCACAAATTACCACAAAGCACGTCTAAATAAGACTAATAGATCTATGCTGGGAAATACCCAAAAAAAATAAGTAAAAAAAAAAATCAGAGATTGCATACAATGGGAGCTAATTTTGATAAGAATTCCAACAAATCTAAATGTAAACCATCATTGCATCTAGAAACCTCGTCCAAGAAGTATAAATCTGAATCAGCTTTAGCATGTAGCACTAACAAGCAATGAGGTCAATATCCACAACATACATTTCAATTTTTTTCTGGAAAGAGATAGAAAAAGGAACTAAGGAAGAAAAATGTTGACCATAAAGAATTATCCTCGTGAAAACTGCAAAATGCTAATCAAGAGGATATCAAAAAAGATGAATGGTCTATTTTATATTGCACAATTTATGAGCTCCACAGGGTTTCAATAAGCACCCATCAAGCCTTCGATATGTGCTTCAAGCTTCTTTCTCTTCTTCTACTCATTTCAAAAAAATGAAAGCATTAAAGCAGTAAAAGATCGCACCTTGATGAAGAAGCGGAGGAGTACAGTGTTCGAGAGTGGCTAGGGTTTTAGTGTAGAGGATGGTTATATATAGAGTGAGAGAGAGGGTTTAGGGTTTTTATTTCCAAAAAAACGGGGATCCATGTTTTAGGGATATTTTCGTTTTTACCCCTCAAAAATAACAAATTTCTATTTTTCCCATGAATATGTTCTTGCTTTCAAAAAGACTGAAATTTTCTCGTTTTCATGTCCTGACATGACAAGATAGTAGATGGATAAATCATAGTACTCAACCCATTAAATTTTACTACATAGAAATCAACAAATTCTTATGTTGAGTGGGAGCTTACTAAGGCTAACATTATCCCTCCAAACATCTCCCACTCTCAAAAATAGATCCCACTTTCACATCATCTTATTTGCAAATCATTTACTATTCACATCACATCCCTACAAATCTAACCAAATTTGCAAAAGTGGGCTCCACATGTTAAAATAATATTATTATAATTATAAAAAGTAAAAAAATTAATAAAAAAAATAAAAAAGTACAAAAGGGGCTTTGCAAATTTGCAAAGCCCTTAACTATATATAAAAAAAATGATGATATGGCTAATCCACATCATCTTGCCAATCCCTTCTTGGTTGGGATGTGGATAGCCTAAGAATCATATTTAGCGATAGCAATTATATATTTTTGTTCATAAAAAGACTAAATTTTCTCTGTCTCCAGGCCCACACCCACGACAAGACAGGATAGTGAAGGGTAAATCACGATAATTACAGGATAGTGAAGGGTAAATCACGATAATTTAACGTAATTATCGTGCAAGAACTTAGTAAAAGTCAAATTCAACGAGTACAATTATATTTCTAATAAAATTTTACAGATATTTAGTTTTTAGAAATATGAGATTTTTAAATGTAACACAAAAATTCTTTATAATAAATTTATGGTTCACTTTTTATCACATATTTTAGAATATCATTTCTTCCAAATTCTTATGGAATGTGAGATTTTCAAAAACGTGAAATTAAAATCCAGTATATGAACTAAGCATATCCTAACATATGATGGGAATTTCATAATGGTTAATTATTGTATACCCATTGTATTAAAAGAGAGAAAAAAAAAGTGTTTTACACAAATGTAAAGCATAAGGATTGACATTACAAACACAAATCCAGTACGCAGGGCCATGATTGTACTTTCATTTTTGGCAGTGCAGAACTGCAGATATGGTGATGGAGGTGATAGATATTACAGAGCTGAGCTATATAAACAATTACATGGATCAACCAAGCCACTGTGTGCACCGCCTATCTCCGCTGCCGCCAACCGAGTGCCGAATGCTGATCTTCTCATTGGCGTATTTCTGCTGGAGAAGTTCAAAACCATTCACATCAAGTTTTCCAGACACTGATTTGCCTTGCTTCCTCCTAACTTGCTGCTCTCTGACAGAGACCCAAAGTTTCTTGATGGCTTCCCTTTGTTTGGAAGTGAACCGCGAGATGTTATCAAAAGCGTGCTTCACTAATATGTCGATCCCAGTTTGGCACCTGGCAAAATAAATCAGTTCAGCAAGATGTATTCGGTAAAAAAAAAAAAGATGCATTTAGATTGTGGGGTTGGAACTTGGAAGAAGAATTTGACCATGGGGTTTTGTAGCGTTTTGCTGCAATCTCTAAACATGAGATCCAAGCTTCTCTTTTTGACTTGAGGAGTCTCTTGGCCTCATCCGGTTCTTTCTTTTCTTTCACTGCCTTTGCTTTGTCTTCTTTCTTTGATGTGCTTGGAATCAGAGCATCAAGGCCGAAGGGGTCCTGCTCTTCTTTATTATTTATCTCGTTTTCAGGACAAGGAGGCTCGCCCTTATTTGTCTGCCCATTGACATTTGCTGGCGGCATCTCATCTTCCAAGGCAGCAGCTTCTTCTATGTCATCATCTTTGGTTGCAATCGGAAGGTTTGAAATCCCTTCTTTTACTTTCCCAGTTGCTTTTGAAAACTGGCAGATGTGCCACAATAAAGACGTGGATAAGTATGACAAATAGATACTTCAGATAAATACATGATGAAGATGAAACTGCATAACACAACCTAATCAAAGTTATAATATTCAGATATTCCCAAGGATCCAAATAACAGGCCTGCTTTAAGTTTCTTAACAATGCTTGGAAAAAAAGCAGGAAGATCTGTCATGGTACTCTGAGAGATATACAAGTTCTTGTGATTTTAATGAATATGTCACCCACTAGAGTCCAATGTCCTAAGCCTAAGTCCTATAGGAATAAAATAGAGGGGAGACAAACCATATATTTTAAGTGTTACCAAAGCAAGCAGAAATCTTCCTTTTTCTTCTACACTTCTACCACATAAGCGATGTAGAAAGGTGTTGTCATGTTAAGACAATGAACCACTTCAAAATGAAATTATGTTTTCACAACATTCAAGAATGAAAACAAGGTAATAGACCAAGTGTCAGAGAAGTAGATAGGTGATAGGCTTCATAAGGCAAAACAGTAGGTGGTTTGTGGGAAACTAAGGCCAGTGATAAGACAGAAGGCACGGCAATCTCTGCCATGCCAAATTGCCAACTACAGAGCAGCAAACAGTAATATTAGCTATTTAGCTTCCATCTATCATCAACTGCATTATTTGTAATGGGAAAGCAAAAAACTAAAGAATTAGCAGTAAAACGTAAGCCAAAGAGAAAAGTTATAGCCTGAACAGGCAATCATCCTATGTAACCGCACCCACAGAGAGAAGGAGAGAGTGGGGAGGGAATGAGGAAGAGAGAGAGAGAGAGAGAGAGAGAGAGAGAGCATTGTGTAATGTCTTCTTTTTCCGAAGCAGTTGAACAAATGAAATTATTTTCTTGAAGTGTTCTTAGAGAAGCTAAAATTAATTATGGTTCCCTACCCCCAATAGTCAGGCACAAGAGAGAAAGAAGTTAAATGGTTTTAACTTACATTAAAAGTACAAAAGACAAACATGCAAATTCATAATTGGGAATATTTTAAACAAAACTAATTAGAACAAAAGCATACCACAAAACTGTCATCAGTGAACAGGTCATTAGCTACTACCGCCCTGATCGTCCATACAGCTAATGAATTCTGCTGCTTCTTTGAGAGGCACTGCGCGAATTAATATGTTCAACATGAGCTAATTTTGACTCAAATAAATTCCATTTAGAACTTTAACCACATCATATAAACTAAATGCCTCACCTCAACTACATCTTGAGATGCAGAGAACAACGCGTGATAGTCAGCTCGTACTGAGGGCTCATTGCAGGTAGTGGATGATGACATTGCAGCTTCAAGTATAGCAAAGAAGTGGTCACTAGTTGAAGGTTTAACACTACCAGCCTCAATCAGTTGAATTGCAAGTTTTGATGCCTTGCCGAACTTTGATAGGTTCTTTATATGTGATGATATCTTCTGCATAGCTTCTATCACTTGAGTTTCAGAGGCATCAGTAGTCATTTTAAATCTCAAGCGTTTTCCAGAAGCAGAAGCTGTAGGGCAAAAAAATCCATATGGTGTTTCTCAGTTCAAGTAATCATCACAAATCATCTATTTGGATGTTCTAATAATCATATACATAATTTACATATCGCAAGCATCACACTGCTTCCTAACGAAGAAATGCAATTAGTTAAAACAAGACTCACCTTCAACAAAATTAGTTAATATTATCAATTATGATCAAGAAGAAATGACAGAAAGAACTAATCAACATGTTCCAAAAGGTACAAAATGAAATAAAATGCTCAAGGGGTTGCAAGAACCTAAAAATCTAGAATTGCCCCTGCTATATTGTTAGAATGGGGTGTCCACAAACATACAAAGATTAATCACAATAATTTCATCTGATCAAGCCATTATGTAAACTATAATATGCATATGAAATGAAAATAAAAGTGTTTTTTGATTTGCCTTTCACCTATTATCTATCTGATTTTGTCATCAAGGATTAAAATCTATCAAATGTTTAGCATTGGATCAATTTAGTCATGCTTATAGTTAGAATCTTACCATCTCTTAATGAATTCTGAATAAGAACGGAAAACTAAATGTATAGTACAGTAGAATTCAATCTTACAAAACAAAAAAAAAAAAATCCAGGAAGGTTTTAAAGTCACTGTAATGCACACGATTAACCCAATTTTCAGCATAATTTTGACTTGTAATAGAAACCCTAAGGACAGAAATTAAAATTTTAAAATCCGTTGAACAAAATAATAAAACAAGGAGAACGCTTTACAGGGACACAAGAGTAGAAATTCACCTACTTTCAGGTGGGGTGTCTTGAGGTGGCTTGGGGCGTTTGAGAGCGCTCTTAAGTGCAGGTTTAGGCGGCGGTGGTGCGGCTGGGGAAGCTTCTACACTAGCGGCTGTAGCGGCGGCAGAGGAGGAGGAGGTACCGGCGGTTCCGGTATTGGGTGAAGCGCTTGGCGGTGGCAAATCTTCAAACAGGTCTCCGGCCATCTCCGCTCTGCTGCGTCACTCACTCTTACCTCTGCTTCTCTTTTTTTTTTTTTTTTTTTTTCTGGTCTTCCTGAAAAGGTAAATGAAGGAGAAGACAGCAGAGCCTATGAATTGGACTCCATTTGTAAAGCCGAGTTTAAGTGGGCCGACCCGAAATATATAAATGGAATTGATAAAGCAACCATATTAACCAAATTTACCAAAAAACTTTCACAATTTCATTGTTCCCAATCTTTTATAATTTCAAGTGTTAGGTATACTCGTTGGGTCAAATTTGTAACTTTGTAATTATTAAAATAACAATTTGACCAACTTAACTGATTAAATATGTGGACCAATTCAAGTATTTAAACAATATTTTTTTGTTATTGTGAATTAACTTATCTCATCTTACGTTATAAAATAAATTTATTTATTATTCAAATACGAATTATATAGATGATTCAAATTTTTTGTGAAAATTTTTAATTAACTTATGCCTTGTTTGGTAACATAGTTAGTTTATCAGTCAATTTTTTACTTATTTGATCATTATTGACTATTTGACTTTATTAAACAATCAATATGAGTGTTTTATTAATTAGATTTTTGTAACAGCTTATTGCTCTAAAATGATAAAAATC